AAAACACGTGTTCTGTGTTCATCTGTCGCCACAATAACGTCCCAGCACAATAAAAGCTAAAAATATATCTGAGACAGACAGAAGCCATTCTAACATTCACAAAAAGAGGTAAGGTGAGGTAAGGATCAGTGCAGGTTAACTGTCCTCAAGATTTCAGCGGTGCAGCATAACATTAAATGCTATTCAGGTCATCTGGTGAAAATTCCTATATTTTTAATATCGCAATATATATCGCAGGGTTGAAAAAAATCGCAATGTTATTTTTTTCCAATATCGTGCAGCCTTACTCTCTTGCTTTGTGCCTGGTTCAGTAAACTGCACGTGCAATTTCAGCAAGGCATTACATCACTTGCTTACTCGCTTGACTTGTCAATCAAATCAGACCTCTTAGCCTACTTGACACACGAAGATTACCGAGCAATCCCGATGTTGAAAACTGTCAGGCAGCAGACTGAGGAGAAAGTTGTAGCAGCAGCTAAACATGTCGGCTTAAAAACCACGAAAGGTAGAGAATGAGAACAGGGTGTTTTATGGCAAGTGGACCGAGTCATTTGCATTCATTTTACCCGCAGGAAGCACACAGCCAATTGAAAGTAGGCAGTTATTGGCAATACAAATGAAGTGAATATTTCAAAAGAGTAATGCACTGTAAAAAAATAAATAAATAAAAATCCCTGGACCCAGGCCTGCAGGCATTTCATTCAGGTGGACCCACTGAAAATTTATATGAAGACCCCTGCTTTAGGGCATTAAAAACAGACATGACTCTGGAGTGGAAATCACGGCATAGAAAGGACAACTGGACTTAGGTGAAACGTCTCAACTAAGCCCAGTTGTCCTTTCCACAAAGAACTGGAAATCAAAGATGCTGCATCCTCAATTTTAAAAATATCTCAATACAATATCTATATCTATCCCCTATAGATAGATAAATATAAATTATTCTTAATATTTATTTACAGTACTATTGCACTGTTTTCACTGCGCTAAAGAATCTTTAACTTGTATATATTTTGTCCCTTTTTTTATTGTACCTTTTAATTTTGTTTCTCTATTTCACTGGAAATGGAGAAGCTCTCCAGTCTTATTGTACTCCAGTATAATGACAATAGAAGGCATTCTCATTCTCATGCTGATTCTGATTCTCAAACAAGATTCTGCAGCTGGAGTAGAAAGTCCTCCTCATGTGGTTAAACCAGTTCAGTGAAATTAAAAACACTTCATCTGAACACAGTGAAAGTTTAAGTAAAAGATAACTAACAATAGTAGATAGTAAAGCAGGCCTATCAAACCCGTGACCGTCTTATTATGCGAGGTAACTGACACACTGAGTGTGAAGTGAAATTAAAAGGATGAGGAGACATTGTATTCGGTGGCCGGGAACTGCCACTACTGCAAATAAAAAAAGAATGAAAAACATAGAAGTCACAACTAGGGCCCGACCGATTTATCAGCAAGCCAATTAAATTGGCCAATCTTAGCCCATTTGAGAGTAATCAGTAATCAGCCAAAACTCGACGATTTTCGCCATCATTTTCGGAAATAAAATGCAGAGAAAAAGATTCGGTTTCACTTCGAAAATATAATTGAAAACACTTTTCTGGTCTGAGCTTGTTCAGTTGTTCTTCCTGTCGGCGCAAAGAACAGTAGCCTACAGTATATCTACAGTATATGCATATATATATATTTTTTTTTTATAACTTCATAAAATTTTTTAAAAATCGTCCGATTAATCGGTAATCAGACCCCCCCTCCAAAAAAAATAATCGGTATCGGCCTCAAAAAATCCATATTGGTCGGGCCCAAGTCACAATCAAAGTTACCGATGCAAAAAAAAAAAAAAAAAAAAAAAAAAAATGAAGCCTGCTGTAATAAAAAAAGAAAAAATGGAGCAGATTTTTTAAAAAGCCACAACAGAAATTAACTATGCAAAAAAGTTACTTACTGTGAAAATAAAAGGATGCAAATAAAAAAGCCACAACAGAAGTGAGCTGCCGGGGATCAATAATGATGATGCACCGGTATTTCACGATCTAGTCACAGAAGACGACGACGAGAAGACAAGCAAAGAAAGATGTGGAAAGGTTATTGTTCAATTTCACTTAGTAAACTTTTTAATGTGTCATGTGGTTCGACCATGTAGCGCCTGAGTCCATATGAAGTTGAACTGGAGGATGTTGGTGTAGTGTTAGCTGCAGTTCAGTCCTTTCAATCCTTTTATTTTCGCAGTAAGTAACTTTTTTTAATCTGCTCCATTTCTTTTTTTAATTTGCAGCAGGCTTTGGTTTCTTTCTTTTTCTTTTCTTTTTTTTTTTTTTTTTTGCATTGGTAACTTCCGTTGTGAGCGGTTCTCGGCCACCGTACCATCAAAGTATTTTATTTGGGCAGACTTACAGAAACACGCTGTTTTGTTTTGTTTGTGTGTTTTCTCCCTGCTCTTCTGTTCTCTCTCTCTCTCTCCCTCTCTCTCTCTCTCTCTCTCTCTCTCATGTCTCCACTCCGTCCTCTGACCCCAACGACCCGTCGATCACTCCGCCGGCGCGCTCCCTGATTGGCTGCCGGCTGCTGTTCACGTGAACCCTTAGTGGCTCTTTGAAAACCCTCCACACAGATATGCGCCACAGGTTCGGAACACGAGGACAGAGGAGCTCGAGCTCGGAGAACTCAGGTAGATGAAGAGGAAAAAAAGCTTCAGGTGAAGGAAATGAGACTCACTTGAGCCCACCTGGTTTGTAAATGAGAGGCTGTGTGCGCGCGAGGAGCTGCTCATCCTGACTCCGCGTCCAGGTGAGTCCACCGTCTGTCTGTGTGTGTGTGTGTGTGTGTGGTAGGGGGTGTGTTCGGTCCGTCCGGACTCTCTGATGGTCCCGTGGTCCTCTGAGTCTTCGTCCAGGTGTGCGCAGACTCCCGCCTTACCTGTCTCAGAGCTCCTTCAGTCCTGGGTCAGTCATAAGGAAACAGACTGAAGAGGGTTAGTTCTAGACTTTAGCCCCGCCTCCAGGGGGCGCTGTTCTCTCTGCTGAGTCCACATCAGGATCAGGACTCAGTGAATGTGAGTCAGGATCCTGTTTACCTGATCTCACCTGGACTTTTGTGTTTGCGAGTCACCTGAAGCAGGTCTAGACAAAGACCTGGATCTGTTGTGGTTCAGGATTGAGCAGGTTTCAGCCTCCACGTTCACACCTGTTGGTTTTTATCCTCTCTGTCTGTAACAAAGGAGATAATTCATTATCTTTAATCCTTCAAACTCCCAGCTATATTTCCTATTTTTGGTCCTAGTAACTCGATCCTTTCAATCACAGCAAATATAAACACATCTTTATTTTCGGGACAACCTCAGCTGTCAGTTTATGGAGCAAAAATGATGTAAAATGAATGTGACAGTAAATTCAGAACCATCAAAGTCGACCAAAAAACAAAAACAGGAAATTGATCCCAACAGTACTTCGTACAAAAAACACACAAATTTACAGTGACCAAGCCTTTTCTCACCTGACCATCATTCTCTCAAGTCTTGGATATCAGGAGAAGAAATATTGGGATTGGAACAAACACACAACAGAAACTATTGACATATTTACACTAATTCTTCCAGACGTTTTTTACTATTTACAGTTGTTTATGCCACTCCTTGAAGCAGTTCCTGTCTGGGATGAGACAGAGGACCACATCATACTGCTCAGAATCTCTTCTTTGCTTGTGACCAAACATTGAGGACCATTATTTCTTATTTTGCAGACAAGCAGAGAACTTTCTTGTCCCCTATTGGACACTACCATCAAGGGAACAATAAAAGAAGAATATGAGACCATGTAATTGGTCAAAAAGTCAAACCTGGAAGACATTAGCGGTATTTAGTGATAGTGATCTTTTTTTATCACAAAAATCTGAGAAATAATCATGTTTTCACCGGTACATCACTGTGGATTTACCATCAAACGTCTCTGATCAAACCAGTGTTGTTTTCGTCAGGCAGGACGAAAACTTAAATGACGACGTCAGACCCCTTTTTTCCTTGACGAAAATGAGACTAAGACGAACGTCACCAAAGCTCTGTAAAGACTAAAATGTGACGAAAATTGTATTGATTTTCGTCAGACGAGAACGAGACGAGACTAAATTGTTATTAGGTGGACGAACAAAGTTTCAAAACATGCTTTTTTTGTCCTAACAGTCACGCCCCCATCACACACGCACCAAAAGCCTCGCTCGCGCACAGCTGCGCGCACACACTCATACACATGCACAGAGCGGCAGGTGGACGAGGCGCACACACACACACACACACCGTGGCGGCAGGCACAGCAGAGGTGCCCGGTGGCCGAAAAAAGAGGGATGATTTTGGTCCTACTTCAGATACAGTCCAAGTGACAATAAAACACAGTGTCTTGGACGGGGACGGGGAGACAGACGACAGTTGTGGAGCCACAGATTCCTCATGCTGCGGCTTCATACTGTCGGGAAAGAACACCACGAACTTCAAAACGCACCTTTTCGTCGACTAAAACTAGACTAAAACCTTTTGAGTTTTCGTCGGACTAAAACTAGACGAAAACTATCAAGGATGGAAATGACTAAAATGGGACTAAAACGAGGAAGCATTTCGTCTAAATGACTAAGACTAAAACTAAATCTGAAATGCCTGCCAAAAACAACACTGGATCAAACACCTATTTTTGTGGCTGGATTGTAAACCTTGTGGCAGGTGTAGAAATGTCTGGAAACCCTCGATAGATTGCCAAAAGGGTAAGCTTTTCAACACTTTTTATCCATAGAGATACACGGTATAGTTCCTGAGAAACTGTAAACAATATTCATGGTGATACGTGGGATCGCCGGCGATCCAGTGGAGTTCTAAGATTTAAAGATCATGAAGGTTTCAGATCCACCAGGACCGTGCCGGGTTTTTGTTCTTTCAGGGTTGGGTATGATGGTTAAAAACTCTTCCTCTTCCCCCCCCCCCCCCCAGTCTGCCGTGTTCCCCTCCAGACCTCCTCATCATGCCGATGGACTTGGCCTTACCCCTGTACCTGTCCAAAGAGGATTTTGTCTACAGGACTCCTCCTAAATCCTGTAAACCAGCCCTCAGCTCCTGCCTCCGGTTCCAGAACTCTCACCTGGTGGACCAGACCACACCTGAGGACAGCCGGTCCACAGAGGACTCCAGGAAACCCAAAAAGCATGTGACGTTTGCCGACCACAGAGGACTGTCGCTCACCAAAGTGAAGGTCTTCTCCCAGTTCAACGACCCCATCGAGATCCCCTTTAGGATCCAGGAGATGTTCAGCTCGGCGCTCTGCTTCACGCCAGAGGAGGAGGACCGGCTGGTTCTGGACTTCGCTCAGCCGTCCTCGGACTACCTGAGCTTCCGTCAGCACCTGGAGAAGAACCTGGTGTGTCTGGAGCACTGCGTGTTGAAGGAGAAGGTGTTGGCAGGGACGGTGAAGGTGAAGAATGTGTCCTTCGAGAAGTCGGTGAAGCTGCGGGTGACCTTTGACACCTGGAAGAGTCAACAGGACTTGGACTGTGTGTACGTGAAGGACGCGTACCCCAGCGCGTACAGCGACACCTTCTCCTTCAGAGTGTCTCTGCCTGAGCAGCTCCAGGTCATGGAGCGGGTTGAGTTCGCCATCCGTTACGAGGTGGGCGGGGCCGAGTACTGGGACAGCAACCAGGGGGACAACTACAGGATCGTGTGGTCGTCCTTGAAGCGGGACTTCCGGAACGCCTGCAGCCGCCGCCGTACAGACTCCTATGACTTTGGGATTCACTTTGATCGCTACGGCAGCCCCACATGCTCACACGGGATCTTCCCTGATTGGCTGAGTTACGCCGGATACGAAAACAGCGGGCCGTACTACTGAGGGGTCGGGGTTCTGCTGCGAGGACGGACCTGCTGACCTGCTGCTACTACCATCACACTACAGCTCCACCACCTCTGTTGATCTCAGACTCTGGAGAGAGTTTCAACACTTAAGTTTAAAAGACGGTAAACTAAAGTTGAGAGGAGATAACTAACTTCCTGTAAGACTTTCAAAATAAAGCGTCTGATGTAGCAACAGTCCTCATGATCATCATCATCATCAGCTTTGTAATAGAGTTAAAGTAACAGAGAGGAAACATTCAGGTAGAAATGAGGCCGCCTTCTCAGACCTGGGGTTTGAAAGGGATATTCTGGCGCAAAATTAATTTAGGGTCAAACACACTGTAACACCGAGTTAGACACCCCCTCCAGAGATTAATGTTGCCGACCGCTTGCTTCTCTAGTTATACCAACTTTAGCAACGACCGCAGGATAGCAATACAGAGAGCCACGCACTCAACCAAAACGCCACTCTATAGCCACAAATGATGCTCAGAACAGCACCTAACTTCATCAACAGTACATATAGGGTCCCAGCTATAGTACTAGCCACCAAACATCTTTTTAACTTTGACTAATTTCTTTAGCAAAGAGACTAAACACAACTCACCTACTCCCACTCTCTCCAGTACGGACTACAGCGGGGTGACGCAGCTCAAGGAAGAACATTTATGATCATTTCTTCATGGAAATACAATCAGACCGAGACGCTAAGGCAGAAGAACTACCGGGTCTGCGGAGCAAAATGATTAATATGGTGATTATTACTTAAAGGAAATGATAAAGAAATGATCATAAATGTTCTTCCTTGAGCTGTGGCACCCCACTGTAGTCCATAATGGACTGGCCTGAGGTCTCGCTACAAACAAGCAGCTGCTGGAAGAGAGTAGGTGAGTTGTGACCCTATATGTACTTATCTCAGTAGAACACGGTGCAGCTCCACTTAGTAACAGAACCTCACTGGAAAATCAGCTGATTTGACTTTACTGTGTTCTTGTTCAAATATATTAACTCGACTGCACATATATTCATACCTGTTAACAAAATTATGATTTTATTGATAATTTGGCTTAATAAAAACACCTTTACCTTTTCATTTTACTACAGTGGAAGTTTATTTGCCCAGCTTATAGACTACAGAGGTGATGAAGCGCCCCCGCTTGTTTTCTCAGGAGTTAGAACAACTCTAAATATTTTGTACTATGGCTGGGACCCTATATGTCCTGTTGATAAAGTTAGGTGCTGTTCTGAGCATTATTTGTGGCTATAGAGTGGCGTTTTGGTTGAGGTTTGTTTATGGCTCCTCAGACCGCTGTGTATTGCTATGCTGAGGTCTTTACTAAAGTTTGTATAACTGGAGAAGCAAGCGGTCGGCAACATTCATCTCTGGAGGGGGTGTCTAACTCGGTGTTACGGTGTGTTTGACCCTTAATTAATTTTATGCCAGAATATCCCTTTAAAACAGCTCAGGGGGCGGAGTCTCTCCTGTAGAGTCTCTCATCACGTTGACTTGTACACTTTGCTCGGTTAAAGCTCAATTAGGCGACTTTACTGTCAGAGTTCACAAGAATCCGTTAACTGATGAAGGTGTGTCTGAAGTACTTCCTCCTCCACTACAGCAGGTGGCGCCATCCCCCCTTGTGCGTGCTGTATGATTGGGTTTCTGTCTGTCACCTCTCTGTCTCTGCTCTGTTTATGTTCAACACCACAGCCTCTTTATCTTCTTCTTCTTCTTTAACTTCTTCTCCGGTGTGTAAATGTGGAGCATGCTCAGAACAGACCATCTCTGTCCTGTCGTCCTCTGTCTCCCTCTGCCGTCTTAAACCAGCTCATTCGACTTCAGAGACTCTGTTTGGACTCGGGTCAGTTAAAGTCCCACAGATTATATAACATAAACCAAAGTCCACACTGACCCGTCAGAAACCACAGCAGGTCTCTGCAGGTGGACTTTAGTCCAACAGAGTCCGGTTTTGGAACTGAGGGACACTGAGGGGGGACGGGTTTTGTCTGAGGTTATGTCTTTGAGTTTCTGTTTTAGTTAGACCGTCGATCCGCGACCCCGAAGAGAGTCCGAGAACAGAGAGGAACAGAGAAACCGAATCAGAGCGTGGACACGGAGAGTGAGGACGGGGTTAGCGAGGATGGGGAGATGATTTTTGAAGGACTGCTGGAGTTTCATGAGATTCATTTGATGGATTTAAAGAGGAAATCTGGTCTTGTTTTAGAGCAGAGATATCAGAGCACTGTGTATATATATATATGTGTGTGTGTGTGTGTCTATATTTGATTAATCTCTCCCTCTATCTCTACATATATATAAATATAAATGTATATGTATATTTAGGGAGAGATGAACTCTGACCATCAATGAGCCGAGGATCAATGATAACTCTATTATTATTTTTGATGTTTGTCAGTCTGTTATTTTCTGTTCAGAGTCGATGTTTTCAGTCGTTTCAGGATCAGCAGGTTTTTTTTTTTATTATTTTGACATGAAACTTTAAAATTTCTTTCAAATCTCTTAAATATTTTTAATCTGTATTATTTTAAAGTTCAGGTCTCAGGTGAACTGCTCCTCACTGCACACAGTTTAAACTCAGAAAAAACACGTGAACATGTTCATGGCTCTTCGTTCAGCTTTAATATCTGTGTGTATTTGTGTGTTTGTTCACAGCTGTGTTGTGATTTTAAAGATTGAATTTGTGTAAAGTCATTTCAGTAATGCTGCTCAATAAAAAACAACATTTAAACTTTAGTTTTTTATTATTATTAAAGTTAAACAGTGAGAGGAAATATTCACTTTGATTTAAACTGGTTTGTTTTCACTGTTAAAAAACAGACATTTACGATCATTTTAGACACAGATACTATAAAACATGGATTATTCAGAGACATTTTCACACCAGGGTCATTCCATGTCAATTCAACCAAGAATCGCCACTCATGTCACAGATTTTGATGAAATTTGGTGGAGTGATTGGCCTTCAGGAGAAACTGTCAGAGCTCAAGTATTTTTGTTCAAAGCCATCTAATTAGTGAGATAGGGGCTAATGAATTTTTGGCTAACTAGCATGACATGCGTTTCAAAAGTGTTCATATCTCTGGAAGTATGGCACCTAGAGAGCTGATTCAGGTGTCATTTTAAAGCTCTCTTCAAGTTCTATCTTTTTGTTCATAACATTTTTCCCAAATTGGACCAGAAAAAATTTATAAAAGACCAAAAACTTAAATTGGAAATAGCAAAAAACGCGTGTCCTTCAATTTTCTTCATATTCACACTTAAGAAAGACTATCATGTCCACTAGCATCCCTGCAAGTTTCAGGATGGGCATTCCATAACTTTTTGAGTAATCAGTCAAAATGCGTGGAACGTTAGGTGGAAAATCGCCATATTTGGCACATTATACAGTCCTGACCTCATCTGGAGTCAGCCCCACTTGCCTGCTTGTGTAAAATATTACTCCCTCATAGTGCAAAATGCTTTTTTTGAGTTTTTTCATTTGTATGTTATCCCATATTTATATGAAAAATGGCTAGAATAGCTTATTTTTGCTCAGTTTTCCATCGCATTTCATTTCTATTTGCACCTATATCCAGAATATGAATGATCTTAGCTTCATGGGAGAATCATTTGGGAATACCTGCATGTCCTGGATCCTAGGGTTATTGACCATTCAGGCATAAAAACACCAAAGTAAGGATATAAAGTCACAATAATACCAAAAATAAAAGTATTCAGTCACATTAATACTACATTTATAAATATTTAGTCACAATAATACCACATTTATGATTATTCAGTCACAAAAATACTACATTTATTAATATTCAGTCACAATAACACTACATTTATTAATATTCAGTCACAATAATACTACATTTATTAATATTCCGTCACAATAATACTACATTTATTAATATTCAGACACAATAATACTACATTTATGAGAATTCAGGCACAATAATCCTACATTAGTAATATTAAGTTACAATTATACTACATAAGTAAATATTTAGTCACAATAATACCACATTTATGAGTATTTAGTCACAATAATACTATATTAGTAGATATTCAGTCACAATAATACTACATTAGTATACATTTAGTCACAATAATACTACATTTATGCACATTCAGTCATAATAATGCTACATTAGTAAATATTCAGTCACAATAATACTTCATTTATTAATATGCAGACACAATGATACTACATTTATGAGTAATATGGCCCCACAATACTTCATTATTAAATATTAAGCTACAATAATACTACATTAGTAAATATTTAGTCACCATAATACCACATTTATGAGTATTTAGTCACAATAATACGACATTTATGCATATTCAGTCACAATAATACTACATTAGTAAATATTCAGTCACAATAATACTACATTTATGCATATTCAGTCACAATAATACTATATTTATTTATATGCAGACACAATAATACTTCATTTATTAATATTCAGTCAATAATACTACATTTATTAACATTCAGTCACAATAATACTACATTTATGAATATTTATTCACAGTAATACTACATTTATAAATATTTAGTCACAATAATACTACATTTATTAATATGCAGACACAATAATACTACATTTATGAGTATTCAGGCACAATCATACTATATTAGTAAATATTTAGTCACAATAATACTTCATTAGTAAATATTAAGTTACAATAATACCACATTTATTAATATTCAGTCACAATAATACTACATTTATCCATTTTTAGACACAGTGAAAGAACAGATATGAGTATTCTTCCATTCTGATGAACACATGACTCTTCAGCCTCATTCATTCATATTCAAGGTCCTTTTTTTTTTTAGCCACATTCAAATAACTTTACCTTCCTTTTGTTTTCTCTGCTCAGCCCAGTTTCAGGATCCAGAACGTTTGTCTCTGTCCTTAAACCAGCAGGTTTTGACCCTGAGAAAGTAGGACAGGGTCCCACCATGGAGGATCTGGATTTGCTGTTTGTGTTTGTCCTGCAGGTGAAACAGGTTCACTTATGTAAGAGGAGTGAAGGTCTGTAGGTCCACCTTCACGGTCCGACCTGGAGGTTTGATCTGCTGCAGAATAAACACACGGACTGATAAGAGCGGTCTGAGATTGAAAAGAAGAGGTTCATTTAAAGACAAGCTCAGCTCAAGATCAGGAGTCCTCAGAGGAAAAAGTGAGCTTAAATATCTCTCTTACTTTCATTTCATTTACTTTCACACAACCTGCTCTTTATATAATAAAGACTGTGAACTTAGTCCCATATAAGTTAAGATTTATTAATAATAGGTTAGACCAGTGATTCTCAACTGGTGGGTCCCAACATAAAAGTGGGTCATGGGCACGTTCTGGATGGGTCACGAACAGCTGGTCAAAAAAGTAAATATATTTCATTTCATTTCATTTATTTTTTGTGTGTGCAACACCAAAAGTAAACTGAACAAAACCAGTGAGAATTTTCAAAACAACAGTAACAATAATCAAAGCAAAAAAGTAAAAACAATAAATACTACTAATAATAATGCAAACCCAACATGTCCGAAAAGGAGTAGGATGAAGCATTATTATGTAATTTTTTTTTTTAAACCTACCCCTTCTCCTTTACTCGAGTAATATCAGTCAGTCTCCAGCAAAACTAAATTATATTAACATTAAAAAAAAGCACATAAATAGAGTAAATAACTACATTAATCATTTATGAACACACCTGTTGTTTAGAGCCCTTCTTCCTCCCTGTACCTGGTGAGAACCATGTTTTTGTACCTCTTTTTAAAATGGGTCATGCTTGGACAACGCTTGAGCTTCACACCTAATCTGCTCCACAACCTTACTCCACAAACAGAAACACAAAAACTTTTTAGTATTGTACATACCACTGATGCTTTAGGTTAAAATCCCCCCTCAGATAATAACCCTAAAACAATTTTTGGATGTTTCCAGGCAGTAGATTGTTTATTACTTTGTCCATGACTTGTGCTGTTTGAAAGTGAACCAGGTCAGTGAATTTTAATGTTTTTGATTTTAAGAATAGTGAATTTGTGTGATCTCTATAACCTGTATTATGAATTATTCTTAAGACTCCTTTCTGCAGTATAGATAGTGATTGTATTGTACATTTCTAAATATTGCCCCAAACCTCTGCACAGTAGTATAAATATGGTAAAATCAGTGAACAGGAGAGAATTTGTAGTTTTGATTTGTGGTCCAGAATGTGTTTTGTTTTACTCAGGACTCAAATGTTTCTTGACAGTTTACTTTGCACATGTTTTATATGATGCACATGTTTGGAAGGATAAGTTACAGATATATGTGAGTGGTTTTGAAATTCCTTCAATGACCTTTTTTTTACAACTTTCATATTAATTCTATTTGAATCAGTAGATGTTTTGTTTTTACATTTACTTACAATATCTATTATTTCTTTTTCTTCACTACTGTGAGGAACATTGAATTAGGATTCCACTCTATAAGCTTATCATTCCCATTGTCAGAAAGCAATGAATCTGGATTTTTTCCTGCCAGGTTTGGTCCAACATCTACAAAAAAATGATTAAAGCTGTTGACCACATCATCCATGTTAGAATAGAATAGAATATTCCTTTATTGATCCCCCATGGGGGAAATTTTTTTGTCACAGCAGCATCACAGACAAGACAAAAAGTGCAAAAATGCAGTTATAACAATAAGGGTCCTAATATTAAGAACTTAAATAAATGTAATAATTAAGAAAAAAATTAGAAAAGGGAGAAGAAAAAATAAAGCTTTCTACAATATACACAATTTAAATGCCATAAAAAAAGTGGTGGTGTTAAATCAGTTTTGTTACTGTTCATTGTAAAGTCTTATTGCAGAGGGGAGGAATGATCTGCGGTAGCGCTCCGTCCTGCAGGGTGGGAGTCTCAGTCTGCTGCTGAAGGAGCTGCCTAAAGCTATATGTTATCCTGTTGAATATTGTTATCTAAAAAAAATTGAGGGTAGCTCTGTTGTTTAACACCATCTTTAATAATACCATTGAATATGTCCCATATTCCTTTAATATTGTTTTAATAGTAGGTTAGGCTACATGAATAAAGGTTCATGCTGCATTTGCACCTTCTGTCCTGTAGATGGCGACAGAGTCCTCACTCCGCTCCTGTTTTCGGGCACGGAAAAACACGGCAAAATAAGATTAAAAAACTCCTAAAATATACTCAATCAGAAACAAATACACTTACATTCATCTAATTATTACATGTAATTATATTTTAGACATTTATGTCTCATCTCCTGTCCCTCTGTTTGGTGAAAAGTTGCTTTGTTTTATTTTTTAAGTCATTTTTTCTGCCAGAGGCAGATTCATTTAAACCTCGAAACCTTTTTTTATCACGTGTTTTTAGTCTGTTTTGCTTTATTTTAAACAAGTGTGCACAAACACTTTCACTTCTCCTCCTCCTCCTCCTCACCCAGCAGGAGGGAGGGGAAAGGGAGGAGAACAGGGGGGGAAAAGGGAGGAGGGAGGACGGGGAGGGCTCAGAGATCTGACGCAGTGAGAGCGGTTGCTGCTTCACTTCCACTCCCAGCTCCCAGGAAGAGGTCGGCGGCTCACACACGGACATTTCACCTGGAATAGAGCTCCGGAGGATGGGCTGCTGAGGCCATGAGGACGCCGGTGAAGGAGAGAGTCTTCCCGCGGCCCTGGAGCTCGGTTCGGGGCTCGGACCCGGGTGTGTAGCGCGCTGGTTTGTTCTCATTGTGTGCGGGGTGGCGCAGGAGAGAAAAGGATGCCTCCGCGGCCACACACGCTCCTCCTGCTGCTGCCGACGAAACGCCCGATTTTCCCCCGACAGAAACCGAGCTTTGTGTCCTCCTTCCTGCTGGAGGGTTTGCCCATGAGGAGGAGCGAGCTGATTCGTGAAGGACACCGTCCACCATGCTGCCCGCTCCGTCTCCATGAGAACTCTCAATGAAAACAAGGAGGAGGAGGTGGAGGAGGAGGAGGGCTCCGCCATGGAGGACAAGGAGAACAATCTGAAGACGGCCAGGTTGTGGAGGGATGCCGCCCTCCGCTCCAGGAAGCTGCGGAGCAACCTGCGCCAGCTCACCCTCTGCTCCAAAGACAACCAGATCATCCTGCCGGAGGAGGAGGACATATCCGAGATCGAGGTGCTCAACCTGGGGAACAACTCCCTCCAGGAGCTCCCGGACGGGCTGGGATCCACCCTCAACAACCTGCGCATCCTGGTCCTCCGCCGGAACAAGTTCTGGGCTGTTCCCCGGGTGGTGTTTGAGCTGGGCCAGCTGGTGGAGCTCGACATGAGCCACAACTGCCTGAGGAGCCTTCCGGAGGGCGTGGGCCAGCTGAGGGGTCTGAAGAAGCTGTGCATCAGCCACAACAAGATCCAGTACCTGCCGGCTCAGATCGGAGCGCTTCAGTACCTGGAGGAGCTGGACCTCAGCTTCAACGACCTGAGAGACCTGCCCAGATCCTTCTGCAGCCTCTCCAGGTTGAGGACTCTGGATGCAGATCACAACAAGCTGAACCAGTTCCCCCCCGAGATCCTGGCCCTCAGCGAGCTGGAGGAGCTGGACTGCTCCGGGAACAAGTTCGAAGCATTGCCGGTGGACATCATGAAGCTGCAGTCTGTGAAGATCCTCTGGCTCAGCAGTCTGCACATGTCCACACTGCCGGACTCCTTCTGTCACCTGACCAACCTGGAGAGCCTGATGCTGGACGGGAACAGTCTCACCGGACTTCCTGCTGGATTTGGACACCTACAGAGACTCAAAATGATCAACCTGTCCTCCAATGAGCTGGTGAACTTCCCACAGGTGATCTTAAGCATCACTGGGCTGGAGGAGCTCTATCTGAGCAGAAACAAACTGACCCACATTACTGAGGAGGTGGGTCAGCTGCTGCAGCTGGCGAACCTGTGGTTGGACAACAACCACATCACTTACCTGCCGGACTCCATCGTAGAGCTGGAGAAGCTAGAGGAGCTGGTCCTACAGGGTAACCAAATAGCCATACTCCCAGATAACTTTGGGAAGCTCTCCAAGGTCAACATCTGGAAGGTGAAGGACAACCCTCTCATCCAGCCGCCCTACGAGGTCTGCATGAAGGGGATCCCTTACATTGCCGCCTATCAGAAGGAGCTCGCTCACTCGCAGCTTGCCGTGAAGCCGCGGCTGAAGCTTGTCCTGATGGGGCTGAAAGGTGCGGGGAAGACATGCCTGAGACAGAGTCTGGTGGGTCCTCAGCAGGACGCCAAAGGACCACAGGGGAACAAAGGAATCGAGGTGACGCATTGGGTGGCGGACGCTGACCGCCACCTAACCTTCCTGGTTTATGATTTGTCAGGGAAGCCAAACTATGACCTCATCAAACCCTTCTTCCTGTCCCCCGGCGCTCTCTACATCCTCGTCGTGAACCTGAAAACCTACTCCCCCAAAAACTTTTATGCCCATGTTGGGTATTTCCTGCACCTCCTCGGCGCCAAAGTGCCCCACGCAGTGGTGTGCTTGGTGGGCACTCATGCGGACCTGTGCGGGGAGGAGGAGCTGGAGGAGAAGAGTCTGGACCTCCACAGACAGATCGGTCTGCAGGAGATGAGGGACACCCAGATTCTGAGGGGTCTGGCTTTGCAGGTGGACCAGGCACTGGAGCAGGGCTACAGCGTGCGCTCCTCCAGCCCTCACGTCCTCTTCTACGGTGTCTCGGACAGGAACCTAAGGCGCAGGAAGGCTCAGCTGCAGTTCATGCTGAACCAGCGGCTGCAGATCCTGTCCCCGGTCCTGAGCGTCAGCAGCACCTGCGGTCAGAGGAACATCCAGCGGCTGAAGGACAAGCTCATGTCCATGGCCGATCACAGGGACATCTTCCCGAACCTCCACCGGGTTCTGCCCAAGTCCTGGCAGATGCTGGAGGAGCTGCACTTTAAGCCCAAAGACCTGTGGCTGTCCTGGTGGGACTCTGCCCGTCTGGGCCTGCAGGCGGGGCTGACAGAGGACAGGCTGCAGAGCGCACTGTCCTACCTTCACGAGAGTGGGAAGCTGCTCTACTTCGAGGACAGCCTGACCCTGAAGGAGTATGTGTTTCACAACCTTCCACGATTCATCGCCATCCTCAACGTCTTCTTCCAACGGGACGAGTCCACGCTGCTGGACCGGCTCCTCTCCGAGGGGGAAAGGGGGGACAACGGGAGGGTGAGTCTGGTCATCGAGGACGAGAAGGGGGAGAGCCTCAGGGTGACTCACCTGCAGCACCACGTGGAGGGCTTCCTGCAGCACGGCCTCCTGCCCTCCAACGTGATCCGGCTGCTGCTGCGCCCGCTGATCCAGACCCAGCAGGACCTGCACCTGATCATGGAGCTCCTGGAGAAGATGGGGATCTGCTACTGCATCAACAAGCCCCGCAGCAAGCCTCTGAACGGGGCCACCGCCTGGTACAAGTTCCCCAGCTACGTTAGCTGCGAGGAGCCGCAGGCGGCAGAGGCCTTGGTGGCGGGGGGGAGCCCTCTGACCATGTGTCACTTCTTCTCCGTGGAGCAGCTCCACGTCCAGTACAGCTTTCCCTTCCTGTTTCCTCCCGGACTGTTTGCACGCTTCAGCGTTCAGATCAACAGCCACGTGGTGCAGCGCTCGGACGGACGGCGTCAGATCCTTGCCTATCGAGGTAAAGTCCCCGTGGTCATCAGCCACCGGCCCGCCAAAGGAAAGCTACAGCCAGAGACTCTGTCCATCTCCAGCCATGCCTCTCTGCCCAACATCTGGACAGCGTGGCAGGCCATCACACCGCTGGTGGAGGAGCTGAACATGCTGCTGCAGGAGTGGCCCGGTCTGCTTCACTCTGTTCACATTCTTTGTTCCAAGTGCCTGAAAAGAGGGTCCGCCACCCCCCACGCCTTCCCAGGTAACACACCTACGCCCTCCAGAACAGCTGTGAGTCAGGTGGTTTTAGGTCTCTGTCCCTCAGCAGGTCCAAAGTAGTAAGGCTGCACGATATCAGAAAAAACTAACATTACAATTCCAGCTCTGTGATATAAATTACGATATTAAAAAACAAGAATTTTCATCCGATGACCTGAATCTGACTTCTTGAGGACAGTTAACCTGAACTGATCTTACCTCTTTTAGTGAAGTTAGTAGAATGGCTTCTTTCTGTCTTAGAGATATTTTTAGCTTTTATTGTGCTGGGACGTTATTGAGGAAACAGATGAACACAGAACAGGTGTTTTAGTCGACATCATCCATCTTGTAACCCAAATGATTCCAGATAACTGACTTTCCTTTTCTTTTTACCAACAAGTATTCATCTTTGGTGGTTTTCTCTTGTTTACTTCTCATTTTACAGTTGTTGTTGTTGTTGTTGTGCTGAGAATGCATGCCCGCCGAGAATTGCATCCATCTCACGGAAACGCGCGCCGCTTATAGTAGAGTGGTCCACGGAAATGTACGATTTAAAACTCATACAGTTCTTATTTGAGGGGATAAACAGTGATGAGGCGGGTATGTGTGTATCGGCACAACACCGGTGGCCACAGCGACATACTTCATGTACAGGGGCGTGGTTTCCTCGTCTCTGATTTGATTGACGGCTGGCAGGGTAGCCTGATTTGCAGCCGAGTAAAGAACGAATGTGATTGGTGGATCACTGCACAGCACATGCAGAGTCACATACAGTGTATGTCAGTCAGCTACCCTGGAAATTAGATGAGGACTTGGCGTGTGTGTGTAAGGGTGTTGTGTGTAGAAGGACAGGTGCATCATGGGGGCTAAACCAGTGGTTCACAACTGGTCTCTCTCTGGGACCCACATTTTCCCATGGTCCTTAAGTCATGACCCAGTTGTACAAAATTCAAACAAAGCAAATTTATTTTTCATAAAAAAAACCTTTAAAGACTCAAATCTTTGACATAAATACACCATTTTTATTGAGTAAAGTGTATTTTAGAGCACATGAACTGAGAATGACAACTACTGAAGTTACAGAAAATATCAAATATCAAATTACACATAATAAAGACAAAATAAACCAAAACGTATATTTATTTTTACTGCATTCAGGCAACATTAATAAGAAACCAAGGAGGAGCATGACATAACACGTGCCTTTCAAAATAAGATATTTTTCAAAATAAAAGATGTCAAACATCAGATGCGCATTAATTATTTACTTTTTGACCAGCTGTTTGCAACCCATCCAGAATTTGTCCCCGACCCACTTTTGGGCCGGGACCCACCAGTTGAGAACCTCTGGGCTAAAGGATGCTGTTTGTGTGCAGAGCTGTGATGTGGACTCAGAATTCTGACCCGGTTCTGAGAGTTCGGCAGTTTCGACTCATGTTGTCTTCAGGATTGTGAACTTTTGTGTCTCTTTTGCTGATTAAAAACTCGTTTTGGTCTGGTACCCCTGAGTCTGCCTTGGTTTCAGACCTGATTGTTGAAGTCCAGACTTCAGAACTGGATCGGTCTGAAATTCTGGATCTCTGGGAAAAATGATGTTTTTTTCAGATCTGTTAGAGGAACGTGTCGAATGTGTAGGTTATGGTTGGTGCTCCTCCTGACAGTCAGCTGATTCCTCCTCAACAGCTGGACTGTTCTCCTGATCTGGTCTTGGGTCTGTGAGAGTCTCTGCTGTCTCCTCTGTCTCGCTCTGATCTGGATCTATGCCGTCAGATTAAACTCTAAACACACAAGGAGTTCTCTGAAAGCCGGGTCCTGTTTCAGTGAGGGACCGAATCCAACTCATCAATCAGGGACATCATCAAACTTAGACCTCTGAAATTCACTAAAACATGAATCAATGAGAGCAGGGCTGGGCAATATGGGAAAAAAAGTTTATCATAGTGTATGTTATTTTCATATCAGTCAATATCGATATATATCACGATATAAAAAATGAAATTTAACAGTGTTTATTGGTTGCATGTCTTTTGCGATACAGTAATCTACTGCATCTGTGAGGTCTTTGTGTCTCTTTGACGTTTTGTTGTAAGGCGTTGCTCTAGAGAAAGTGGACTGAATGGTCGGCTGTTTCGGCTGCACAGGCGCCATTGGCTCCTTACTCCTCTCGGGGGTTGGAAACTTTTGCGTTGCACATGCTCTGTGGCGTGGCACTGCTTCAGGTGGTGAAAAAGATTTGAGGTATTTCCCGACTTTGTGAGAACATGTACTCGACATAATTTTCAGTACACATTACTCTGCTTCATGTCCGACCTCAAAAAACCAAAATACCTCCACACCTCTGACATTTTTGTGCCAGTGTTGTCAACGATGTTGTCATCTGTTGAGCCTTCATGGTCATTTCTGTCGGGGGTAGCACTCATGTTCTTTTTTTCTCACCAACAGTGCTGTCGGCTTCACCTGTTAAGGTGCTATGGTTGGGTGTAGCTGCTGTCTGCTATGACACAGTTGTTTGATACTTCTAATTCAGCACATGATTGGTTCAGGACGAAGTGGACCCGGAGCAACTCCCGTTTTCACTGGCTATTTATATAGTCTACCTAAACATGTCAGAATGCCGACTATTGAAAAAGCATATTGACTATGTTTTATATTGATATTGAGGGAAATAAATTTTTGATATATATCGTTATCGCTTTATCGCCCCGCCCTAAATGAGAGTATCAGCAGGACAAACGTGTCCAGATGCTGCACGTCTGCACAGAGTCCGAGGTACAGAGAGTGACCCGCCTCTGACTCTGTGTCTGTGTGAGATTACAGCGCTGATGTTTGAAGAATCATTTCATGGTTCGAGTCATTTCTGCAGCCTGATAACAGACAGAGGGAGAGAGAGAGAGGCCTTTGTGCTTGGGCGATCGACCACATCAGGAAATGCTTCAGATTTTCTCTCTCTGGGGGGCGAATAAAGAAAACAGCTTTTATGAGACTCTGTTTGCAGGAATGTCCTCTCAGAGTTTGAGGTTCATTTCTGCAGCTCAGAGTTTGAGTCCCAGGATTGAATAAAAGAAAAATTAAAGTAAATCAAAGTGTGAAAGTTCAGAAAATCCTGCAGGAATGAAGTTCAGAGGAAAGACTCTGAATATTTCCAACAGACTGTGAGGTTAGGACTGTGAAAAAAGTGTCAGAAAGGGCTCCAATTTATCTCTTTTCACTCTGTCACATGATCCCTGCAGGACTGTCTCCATCAGGTCCACTTTAGAAATGTCCGATCTTTCAGTGTTTGTAGATTTCTGTCTGGGGTTGTCATGAAGTTTTAAACGCTGATATAATTCCTCTAGAAAAACTATAAAGACAAATGTTTGAATAGAGGAGTAGTAAACTGAGGACCAGACCTCCACAGTTGGTGGTTTTTCAGTTAGTGAGATTTTACCAACATGTGAACCCAAAATACTGATCGATAACAGACTCCAGTCCAAAAACATGTCAAACTACATTTCCCATGATGCACCTGTAATCATTCAATTTTTCCTGTGAGCTCTCTGCATGAGTCTGTTTTTTTCTTTTTCTTCTTCTTCTTCTGCTTCTTCTTCTGTGGTGTGGGTCGGTCAGTGTGTCTCTGCGCTCATCTCCCTATCTCCTCGGCTGAGTGTGGATCAGGAGGATGGTCTGGACTCTGCTGCAGAGCTCCTTTTATGGACATGATATTTTGGTCTGGACTCCACACAGCTGCAGAGTCAACAGCTGGTCCTCAGTGCAGGTTTCAGGTTCCAGAGAGATCCTCACCGTGTGTGTGTGTGTGTGTGTGTGTGTGTGTGTGTTTGTGTGTGTGTACACTCTCTCTCTCCTTTAATCCTGTTACAGGATCAGTCAGATTACACAGAGCCAAAACAGGAGCGCCTACCTGTCACTCAGGTGCATTAGGCCCCACCCACTCTAACATTAGACCAGTCTGAGCTCGTCCACGCTGTCTGGATCAGAGGAGACATGATGAGTCCTCCTGACATCAGTCAGATCCAGATCCTCCTGACCCCTAAGGACCGATCGTGTTGATCTTTCCTCCAAACATAACTCGTTTTACTCCATCAGACTCCCAGCATGCACTGCAGCACCTGTCCAAGCTCCTGTCACTACCTCTGACTCTCTCAGACTGACTGACCCCCAATTTTCACCATATCCAGAAAAGCTCCGACTGGAACGGCGGTGATTTTCGCCATCCGCCTTTTCCTACTGGATCTGTTTGTGAGGCGAATTTCGTGGCGGATTACGAACAGCGGTAATCACGAGAACTCACAAGAACCTGCGGATTCACGTTCGATCGCATGATAACAAGTTGTCTCTATAAAGACAGACACATAGACATATAAGCAGTAGATTGTGTCCTTCCAGAGGAGGAAATCTACTTCTAGACTTCGAGAATCAGCATCTCCTCATCCATGGTGTCATCAGGGTGAAATGACGTCTAAAAACCTTTCACTTGTTCGTCTCCGCCCGTTTGCATGGTGTGAAATACGATCCTCCTGAAACACAGTGTTTTATTTTGAAAAGAAGCTCGATGTTTTATTTTGTGTCTGTGCCCAACTTCCTTTCCAGCACGCGTTAATCTGAGCTCAATTTATCCGGCATGCTCTGGTGTCCAGAAAAAATAGAACTCTTGCGATCAGCTGCGAAGTCCGGGGATCCGCAGAGGAAGGGAAAGAAGCCGGTGGAAATTGACACGTTAACTTGAATGGTTATGATCAGCTAGGATCGGAGGATACGACCCTTTAGTAGATGTTCTGGATGTGGTGGAAATTGGGGGTAACACTCTTTTGGAAAGGACAGCTGGACTTACTAAGGACGTTTCACCTTAGGCGAAATGTCCCAAGTAAGTCCAGCTGTCCTTTCAACGAAGCATTGGAAATCTTAGATGCAGCATTCGAGGGCTGGGCAATTTGGCAAAAAAATGATCACAATATATTTTGTCATATCATCCGATCTCGATTATTATCACAATTTTTTTAACTGCCTGTTTTAAAGCATCTGTACTAAAAACTAAAGAAACTAGTTTAGTTAGTTCAACATTTTATTAACATACAAAGTAAATAACAAAGCAAATTCGCCGACATACCTTGCACATCGGCTTAATCGCTCAACGTCACTTTGGAGATACTCGAACCACCGTCACACAACTGACGTAGAATAACTTCTCAACAATAACATCTTAGGAGAATAACTCAAAGTCAAGGCTGACATCTATTTTGCTGACCTCAGCTCCGTGTTTAGTTCCACGTTCGGTCATTTTGTTTACTTCTCCAACAACTTACAGAAGTGAGCAGGAAAAGCTCGACTCTGAATGGCTGTTGTTATGCACATTTCCTCTATGTTTGATTGAGTAAATATGCTCACAGCTGATCACCGTGATCGAACTGAAATTTATCACGATCATATAATCGCCCAGTCCTGCTGCATCCTCAGTTTTAGACAATATCTCCAGGTTTCGGAGCAACATCTGCGTCCATCCAGACAAAGATTTTTTCAGGGTAGACCTTCATATGATCCCAAACCACATATTGACAAGAGTTGAAATTGACACGTTAACTCGAATGATTACGATCGGCGGATAGGACCTTTTTGTAGACGTTCAGGATGCGGTGGAAACTGGGAGGTGAGCTAAACTAAGACAGGCCGCTTTATGGATCCTGGTCTCCAACAGTCAACAGAGTACAGAATGTCAGAACGTGGCGCTAAACGCGGAGCTGAGGTCAGCAAAATAGATGTCAGCCGTACTTTTGAGTCATCCTCCGAAGATGTTATTGTTTAGAAGAAAAGCTATTCCATGTCGGTTGTGTGGCGGTGGTTCGGGTATCTCCAAAGTGACGTTGAGTAATTAAACCGATGTGTAAGGTATGTCGGCGGTCGGTGCCTCAAAAACCGTCGACACAACAGATCTCATTTGAAGAAGTTCTTCCCGAGTGATTATGTGGAAAACATGAAAATATGGGTGGAGTCTGTACAGCCTGTCACTGCTGACGGTACGAGTAGCATCAGCAGTTTAGCTAAAACTAGCGGTGCAGCCACCAGACCAAAGTAATCAATCATATCATCTACATTTACATCATCTATTGTTTACATTTAAAGACATCTTCATAATCTCTGAGGGGACGATTTATTTATTTTGGGTCTATCATACCTGCAGACACATTTAGGACTGTAAACTAGTTCATTGTATTATTTATTGACTGATTTATCAGCGAGCCAATTAAATCGGCCAATTAAAGCCCGTTTGAGACTAATCGGTAATCGTCCAAAACTAACCAATTTTCACCGTTATTTTCAGAAATAAAATGCAGAGAAAAAGAGTCGGTTTCACTTTAAAAATGTTCCGCCACAGATGCTTTAAAACTGACCATTTAAAAAAAAAAAAGGATAATAATCGAGATCGGATGATCCGACAAAATATAAATCATGATCATTTTTTTGCCAAATCGATCAGTCCTACTTTGTGGAGCTTCACTCACTAAAACTTCATCATTCAGTCGTCAGTGAATGAAAACAGTCCGAGGTGTTTACTCTGATGTGTGTGTGTGTGTGTGTGTGTGTGTGTGTGTGTGTCTGTGTGTGTGTGTGTAATCTTTTAAAGGATGACCATCCTGTTACATCACCTCTCTAAGCTCCTGCATTATCTCATGCATGTGACACACACACACACACACACTCTGAGCAGGTCTGTGATGTTCTGACTCCACCTGAACTGTGATATCAGAGATGAAGCCCCGCCCCCAGTCTTAAAGCTACAGTATCAGGGTTGTTTCCTTTAATCAGACCTGAGAGGTTTTAGGTGTTCTGACTGTGGCTCTGACTCGTTAGTTTGGTTCTGACTCGTTTGTGTGGCTCTGACTCGTTTGTGTGGCTCTGACTTGTTTGTGTGGCTCTGACTCATTTGTTTGGCTCTGACTTGTTAGTTTGGTTCTGACTCGTTTATGTGGCTCTGGAATCGTTTGTGTGGTTCTGACTCGTTAGTTTGGCTCTGATTTGTTAGTTTGGTTCTGACTCGTTTGTGTGGCTTTGACTCGTTAGTTTGGTTCTGACTCGTTTGTGTGGCTCTGACTCGTGAGTTTGGTTCTGACCCGTTTGTGTGGTTCTGACTCGTCAGTTTTGTTCTGACTCGTTTGTGTGGTTCTGGATCCTCCTGCTGAAGCTTCTCTCTGTGGTTGGATCAGTTTGGTTTTGGTTCTCAGGTTTTTGTTGGAAAGATTTGGATCGATGGTCTGTGTCTGCAGAGCTGAACAGGATCCAGAACTTTCTTTGTCCCGCTCCTCCTCCTCTGTGCCATGTTTCTCAAAGTGAATCCTACTTCCTGTCCCACCTGAACCTGAGGCAACACGCCACATTTCAGGGCGCGGCGGCTGTTTGGTTGGTTCTGCTGTTGAACTTGTTGATGTGGACAGACGGATCAAATATCTGCAGGACGTAAAAGTCACAGCAGAGCTGCCAAATGTAAGAGGCTCTGATTCATTAATATGATCTGACACCGGGGGGAGGATGTGCCGCCACCACCTCAGCTGACTGTTGTTTACAGATTCTCACCTCTGGACTGAGGAAGACCATCTGAAGAGTTTATCTTCAGTCCAGAGCGCTCAGGTCTGAGGAGGAACAGAGGATCTATGTGTGTACATCTACATCACTCTGAAAACTGATTCTAACTAAGACTGAGAAACTTCACTGAGGACCTGATCTGATCCTCCTCCTCCTCTCTTCTCCTCTCTCCTCTCCTCTCTCCTTCTCACTCCTCCTCTCCTCTCTTCTCCTCTCTAATCTAATAAGGGTTTGGAAGACGCTAAACTTTATTTACTAAACACGGTCTATAAGCACCTTGAAAAGGCAGGGGCCCATGTGAGACTTTTATTTGCAGACTTTTCTTCTGCTTTTAACAAAATGCAGCCTCATATTTTGATTCAAAGGCTTGCTTTGGACTTCAACCTCTCTGACCAACTGCTGTCACTAATTTTCGATTTTCTCACTGATCGGGTCCAATGTGTTCTGGTGAATGGCTGTTTGTCTCCTCCCGCCATCTCGAATACTGGGTCTCCTCAGGGCTGTGTCCTGTCTCCTCTCCTTTTTATTCTGTATACTAACAGCTGCAGATCTTTTGATATTCTGATGACACAGTCCTAGTTTCACTGTTGTCAAAGAACGAGGAGAACCGTGGTCCAGCTCTGGGTCATTTTGTCCAATGGTGCGAGGACAACTAACTTGATTTGAATGTTTTAAAAACCAAAGACATGGTCATTGATTTTAGACGTGCTTCTTCTCACAGTGTCAGTGTCATTCGTGGTGGAAATGTGGAAATTGTCAATAGTTACAAATACCTGAGCACTGTGATTGATGACAAATTAAAATTTGACATGAACACAGAAAGCATTATCAAACGAGGGCAGCAAAAAACCTACCTGTTGAGGAAGTTAAACACTTTCAATGTGAGCAAAACTATTTTAAATAACTTTTATTGTTCTTTTATTGAAAGTTTACTCACATTTTCCTTTGTTTACTGTACCCTCCCTCTCTTTTGTTTTTTTACCTGAAAAGTTGAACAGATGGCGCCGCTCTGTAGTCCAGGATCTGAATTTGGATCTTGGTCCTGAAATAGAAAGATCAGATCTGGATCTGTGAGTCAAGTTAAATACCTCTCTGACCCCCCCCTCATGAAGTCAGAGAGTCCAAAACTCCAGACTGAGGAGGAGGAGGAGGAGGAGGGGAGAAGATAGAGAGGAGGAAGAAGGAGATAGGAGGGAGAGGAGGAGGAAAGAGATAGAGGAGAGAGGAGGAGAAGAGAGGAGAGAAGCTCAAAAATGTTAAAATGTTGACTACACAGACATAAGAGAACACAGAGATATCGTTATAATACCAAATGTCATCAATAACTGATAACTATTGACTGATATTAAAAGATTTTTTGTAAATACACCACAAAAAAAGATGCTTCTTTAACAGATTCCTGTCTACACCACCTTTAATTAAAACTCTGAATGCGAGTTAGAAAGCTGCTTTGATTTTTTAAATCAGTTTCTCCTTCTGTTATTCATTTCAAAATAAAAGCACCCATAATACTCGGTAACACGACAGTCGAATAGTGTTGCCATGGAGACGGTGAGTCAGCTGTGAGCTCCTGCTGAGCTCAGTGTGTGTTTACAGCAGAAGAGCAGGATTAGCTGTAGCACTGTTTGCATTGTAACCATGGTAACGGATAAGAACACCATGGTTACTTTTGATGCCTCACACCTGATCACTGTTACCAACCCCCCCCCAACGATCGTATGCCCCGGTGCATCATGGGAGCAGAGGGGTTTACAGATTAGAGCTGATTCTTTCACATAAGCTGATTTCAGCTCACATATGATCTTTTGTTCTGGACGTGTGTGTGTGTGTGTGTGTGTGTGTGTGTGTGTGTGTGTGTGTGTGTGTGTGTGTGTGTGTGTGTGTGTGTGTGTGTGTGTGTGTGTGTCTGACACAGACTCTTCATTTCTTCTTCTGTGGTGTCTTTGCAGCAGGATCTGCTCGGTGACAGTTTTTCTATTTTCAGCTGAAGTTGTAAATATTTGAAGAGCGTCTGCAGCAGGAGCCGAGAGCACGCCGACAGCTGATTGGTTGATTTTGGTGAAATAAACCCTCCTTTGTGTTTCCTCTGTCACTTTAGTCCCTGAAACAAAAAATCTGCTTTAGTTTGAGTTTCAGGTTTCAGTAGAGGACGTTCAGAGTTCTTCCTGATGTCTCAGCTTGTTGCTCGGTTACTGCAGTGCACTTTGGACTAAGAGCGCAGTGAAAAAAAGTCATGTGACCTGGATGACATCATGCTGTCACCACTTCCTCATAGGAACCCGTGTTGTCAGACAACATGGAGAAGGAGACGTGGATTCAGAGGAACCATCAGAGGTCTGAGGACGTGTTTAAACATCAGCAGGAAGGATGGAGGAACTGAACATGAGCTGGTTCTGTTTCTCAGTGAAGTTTGTTTTTGAACAGATCAGAACCAGTCAACACGGGCCTGAACAATCACTGACTGGAGCTAGTTTATTGTCCAGAACTCCAGCAGTGATCAGATGATCCTGGTTTCTCTAAACTTCATGTGGTCCGTCAGTTTAGTGTCTGTGATGGTCAGACACAGACAGAGAGGTCTGTGGTCGGTCTGTGGAGTTCAGCCGTACGTCTGAAGAAAGAAAGTCTCAGAAGAAGAGGTCTCAGTAAACTTTGTTCTTCCTCGCTCACTCACTCACTCGCTCGGTGGTCGTCCTCCTCTGTTGCTCTCAGGGAACAGGAAGTGAGGTCGGATGTGGGACATTGTGGAAACGGTTTTTGTCCCTGAACGCCCACAGAGAGAGTTTCCTGAAAACTCCTCGAGTCAACTTCCTCTGTGAGCTGAAGGCAAAACTTCAGATGACGAAGAGGAGGTGGAGGAGGAGGAGGAATGTGAAGACTCCTGTACCTGGAGGAGGGGGAGGGAGCACATTCCTGTGTGTGTGTGTGTGTGTGTGTGTGTGTGTGTGTGTGTGTGTGTGTGTGTGTGTGTGTGTGTGTGTGTGTGTGTGTGTGAGAGAGAGAGTGTTAGGAGGAGGAGGAGGAGTCCGGCTGTGACCTAATTCAGGACACACAGCTGGATGTTTGAGTGTCAGCTGCTTCCTCTAATGAAAAACACGTCTGCCTGTAAGAGCAGGAGAAGAGCGAACTGCAGCTGCTGTGACCTCCTCCTCTGGACACCATCACTGAACTCTTTACACATCATCTCAGGACCTTTGTAGTCATCACTGCAGACGATTAAAATAAAAAAAATATATTTTTTTTCTTTTTTTTTTTTTAATTAAAGCATAAAAATAAATAAAAAAACATTAAAAAAGCACTTAACCACCCCAAAAACGATATATATTTTTTCAAAAACATACAAAAACAATTAAAAAACATTAGACACATTAAAAAAACATAAAAACATTTTAAAAAATTAAAAACATGAAAAAACATTTAAACAACATAAAAAAATTTGAAACATAAAAACATTGAAAACATGAAAAAGCAAACAAAAATTCAATGAACATAAAAAAACTTAAAAAAACATTAAAACCATTTTAAAAACATTTAAAACACAAAAAATCATTAAAAAAAATAAAATATATACCCCTAAAACCATTAGAAATTATTAAAAAACATTTAAACCACCAAAAACATAAAATAAAACTTCTTAAAAACAAAGAAAACATATAAACGACTAAAAACATTAAAAACATAAACATTAAAAAAAACAATCAAAAGACATTAAAAAGCATAAAAAAAACATATAAACGACTTAAAATAAACATAAAAAAACAAAAATTATTTTTAAAAAACATTAAAAAAAACATTAAAAACATAAAGAATCTTTTAAATTTCAAAAAGATCCAACAGTTTCAGTCTGAGTCCTCATCAGGACTTTACAAACCCCCACAGTCCCCCTCATAGTCTTCCTCAGACTCTTCTTCCTCAGGTCTCAAAGTGAGTCTCAGATTTTCATCTCTCAGTCAGCAGGGAGTCATGTCAGGACTTATCCCTGGATTTGGACTGTCAGGAAACATGCAGCCGCTCTTGTTTCTGCTGTGTCTGTTTCTGTCAGTAAAAATCGACCTCTATGAAATGAAAGTCTGACAGAGGCGGAAAAATCCAAGAAACTGAAAACTAGAAGTCAAAATATTTAGATGTGAAAAAAAAGTCAAGATATGAAAATTTAACAGAGTTAAAGGAATAAAGAGTAGATGTTAGAGTGAATGAAAATGAAAGAATAAATTAACTTTATTGACTTTCTGTCGTCGGTCAGATTCATGTCTGTGATATTTTAGACCTGATCAGTCGTGTTCAGGGGAAGTAAACCCTGATTTTAAACTAACCTCCTCTCAGGTCTGATGATGGATGGAGCTGACAGGTGGATTTATTTCAGTCTCCGCTCAGTTATAAACTCCACACAGACCAGATTAGCTGCTGACAGGTGCAGCTAAATGCAGCTGGTGAGGTGACACCGGCAGACAGAACTCAGGGCTAAAGCAGTCTCTCAAACACAAGAAGGACTTTAATACCAAAGAGGACGAAAGTTAAAAAAAAACTGTTTCTCTGACTGACTGTGCCTCTTAGTCTCTTACCCCCCCCCCCCCCCCCCAGGGTGCGTTCAGGATCGATGGCGTTAATGGTCTTGGCGCTGCAGACGGGCTGTGAGAGTGGACACTAATGCAGCTGAGGTTCAGACTGCCTCTGATGGGGTTAGCTTAGCAGCGAGCTAACACTCATCATGGTAAATCAGCTGTCTGATCGATAACCCTGAGATTCATTAGTCTGAGATCCATTACTCTGAGATCCTTTACTCTGAGATCCATTACTTTGAGGCTGATGGCTCATGATGATGTGATGATGAGTTGGTGTCTGGATGAACTCAGAACTGTCCGGTCAGTAGTTTTGTTTAAGAGGCTTTTATATGAAGTTATTTCCAATCAGCTGATCAACAATTCTGGTCCTTTTATCAATAATAATAATAATAATACATTTTAACTGATCGAAAACAGATCTCTAAGTGCATACAGGGCAACAGTCAGAAAACAAAAATATGAATATATATCAATACGTAAAAAAAACATTAAAAAAAAACATAAAAACATTTAAAAAAAACATAAAATTAACATTTAAAAAACATATCAATAAAATGACTCATCACATCTGCCTTTGTGAGTCTGCCTCCATCTGTTTACAGATCTATATTTACAGAATATTTCACCTTTAAAATACTGACCTAAACTAACAGTCTGAGATGGTCTTTGAAATAGTTTTAAGTTAACTTAACTCGACCCCTGAGTCTAACCTGAGGACCCTGTCAGACCCTTTAAAACCATCATAGTCAACTGTAGGATCCAAACCATGAAAACAGGCGGTAACGGCGATCAGCTGCTGCTCTACATCAGGTATGAAGAGGCGACTGCCGGTCGGACCAGGTTTGATTTTTTTAAAGAGATTTTTAAAAATATACTGAAAATTAAACATTTATTTTAAAAAAATCACAGAAATAAACAAAACAGAACTTCTGATTTAAAATATTTTTTAAAAAAGAGACAGTTTTAGAGATACCACATAACAGAAGTCAAACATCCCACTGGATAGAACAGAATGACATAAAATGGAAACATAAAAATAGAAAATGTGAAAACAAAATAGAAGAGAAAGAAGTTTATTAAAATAGAAGTGAAATTTGAACAGTAAGTTTATGTATATGACAGAATATGACGATAGAATAGAAAAGAATAATATATCTATTGTTGTTCACCTGGTTCTAAAACAGCCTCCTAACAGTTTGAAGATTAAAAAGGATATCTATGTCAGGGAGTAACATTTCTGTAATTCTCTTTTTAATTCCCACTAAAAAAAAAAAAAATAACCGATACATTTTCTCCATTGCTGAGTTTTAGAGGATTGGATCCTGGTTGACATGGTTCAGGGTCAGAGATGATCCACTCAGCTCCAGCTGTTCAGCGCCTTATTATTATTTTTTCTCCTGTTTAGTCGATTTAAAGTGGGGGTTTTTTTCTCGCTCTGTCCCATAAAAACCTAAACAGACATTTAAACCTGAACAGTCATCCATCAGGAATCATTCTCTCTGTGTGACCAGCTCTTATTTTGGCGGGTCACCACACAGCTGCTGAAAGGGTCAGATCTGCAGCTGTAGACTGAGTCGGTCCACGGATGATGTTTTGTTCTGATCAGATTATTGATCACCTGACTTCAACTTAGAGTGGCTGAAGCTCTGAATGTGGGTGAAGCTGATTGGTGGATTTGTGTTTCTGTGTTTAGACTGGACCCGGCTGACCCGGTGTGTGTGTGTGTGTGTGTGTGTGTGTGTGTGTGTGTGTGTGTGTGTGTGTGTGTGTGTGTGTGTGTGTGTGTGTGTGCCATGTTACAGCGGGTTACCATGTTATATAGGGGCTCTGAAAGCAGGTCAGTGTGTGTGTGTGTGTGTGTGTGTGTTATTGAGATGCTGATCCTGTTGATTTAATCTTGTGTGTTGGACGCTCAGAGCTGCTTCAGCGTTACACATTTAGATGATTATTGATCATGTGATCAGATTTCAGAGGGGTTTTAAATCGGCGATGAGCTCCGTTAAAACACAGAGTCCAGATTCATGATGACTTACTGACTGTATTTACGCCAGAGTGAAGTATATCAGTAAGTAAGTGAGTAAACTGTGACAGGTAAAGGGATATTCTGGCATAAAATTAATTTAGGGTCAACACCGAGTTCAACACACCCTCCAGAGATGAATGTTGCTGACTGCTTGCCTCTCAAGTTATACCAACTTTAGTAACGACCGCAGGATAGCAATACACAGTGGTCTGAGGAGCCATAAACAAACCTCAACCAAAATGCCACTCTATAGCCACAAATAATGCTCAGAACAGCACAGAACTTCAGATTTTCCTGAAATTTGCTGATTTCCTCCATAGACGATGAGTTGTGTTGGTGTCATCGTGTCATTGGCAGCATCGGTTTTAATAATCAGGCCGCCATTGTGATGAGAGTCTGAGAAATCGACCAATCAGAGAAGACTCGCATCCAGTTGAGAGTGAGAAACAGTCTGAGAAATCAACCAATCAGCAAAGAGCGAACAGAGACAGATGTGAACAAGTGTGAACTCGCACTGGCTTCAGTGGGAGGTAGAGATCAAGATCTGCAGGAGTTACCTATACCGACAAGATATCGACATTTTCCAACAAACAAGACATTTAAATGTGAGGATGAACCAACATGAGAAATCAAGATCATATAAGAGTTTGATAAAAACAGTCAAGAAATCAGCTGAAAAACAGGCGGACAAGATATTATCAGGTGCACAAAATTTCGTATAAGAAAGTCGTGATCATTTCTTCATTGAAATACAATCAGACCGAGATGCTAAGGCAGAAGAACTACCGCGTCTGTAAAATGATTAATATGGTGATTATTACTGAAAGGAAATGATCATAAATGTTCTTCCTTGAGCTGCGTCACCCCGCTGTAGTCCGTAATGGACTGGCTTGAGGTCTCACTACAAACAAGCGTCTGCTGGAAGAGAGTCTGTGACTTGTGTTCAGTCTCTTTGCTAAAGAAATTAGTCAAAGTTAAAAAGACGTTTGGTGGCTAGTACTATGGCTGGGACCCTATATGTCCTGTTAATGAAGTTAGGTGCTGTTCTGAGCATCATTTGTGGCTATAGAGTGGCGTTTTGGTTGAGGTTTGTTTATGGCTCCTCAGACTGCTGTGTATTGCTATCCTGCGGTCGTTACTAAAGTTGGTATAACTAGAGAAGCAAGCGGTCGGCAACATTTATCTCTGGAGGGGGGGTCTAACTCGGTGTTATGATGTGTTTGACCCTAAATTAATTTTACGACAGAATATCCCTTTAAGGAGCAAAAAAGAAAAAAAAATGGAAAAAAAGGACAAACTTTTAACTGGACCTCAGAGGAAAATTAAATCTAAAAAAAAGTTTGACAAAAGCTTGAGTCGACTTTTGAGAATTTGTCAGAAAAGATCTGAACTGAATGGACTTGAATGATCATGGTGAGGTGGTCCAGAAACATTTATAAAGGAGGACCAGTTTGACCACAGTGAGAGGTGTGTGTGTGTGTGTGTGTGTGTGTGTGTGTGTGTGTGTGTGTGTGTGTGTGTGTGTGTGTGTGTGTGTGTGTGTGTGTGTGGGCAGGGGCGATAGCGGTGGTGGTAAATTATTCTCGTATTTAATGCCCAGATAAAAACACACACTCAGGAAACTAGAAACACACACAGAGTGAGGGCTGTTAGTGCCCTGAGTTTGGGCTCTCAGGCTTTAACCAGAACCTTTTGTGGACCTCTGAGCTGAGCTGAAAACACACACTTCATTAATTTGGTTTATGTCTTGTGTGCGTGTGTGTGTTTGTGTGTCATGCTGCTGTTTGTCCTTTTGTTGAGGTCAGATCCTGTTTTTGTCCCCTGAACAATTAAGTTCAGATAAACTTAATTGTTTTAAGACGGAGGAGAGTGGACGTTATTCTGCAGCTCTGGGTCAGAGTGGAGGAAAGAGTGGTCAGGAGAAGATAGATAATCAATAATCCATCCACAGATGACGTTCAGATGTAATCTTAATCTTAAAGGTGTCTCTGTGAGTCTGAGTGCAGCTCTCATCTCTCTTTGTCAGAATCAGGAGAACTGAACTGTGTCACGGCTTCTCCTGGATGGACTCGGGTCAGTTTAGATAACACAGACAGGACTGTGATTCTGATCAGAGGTCCTCAGCGCCCCCTGCTGGCCTCCTCTCTCTGTCTGCAGCAGTCACAGTTTAGTGTTACTGCCCTCTAGTGGCCAAACTGGAGTCTTAAACTCCCTGAAGAGGCTGATATAAACCGACTGTCTGACCCACCTGTCCTTGTTTCAGGTGAGCTGCTGAGTCAGTCGCGGCCTGAGGGTCTGACTGAGATCATCTGTCCAAAGAATGGCTCTGAGCGGGTAAATGTGGCTCTAATTTACCCCCCCACACCCACTGCGCTCAGCCCCAAGTGATCACCTGAGACCCCGCCTCCACCACCACCACCACCCCAACCTGTCCAGACCTCGTCCTCCTCCCAGCAGCCTGAACCTGGACCCACCCTGCAGCTGAAGGAAGCACCCGGATCACTGCCCCACACGTACGTCCACATTAATACAGTCAGTCTCTAAGGTGGCCCTGAAGGGAGTTTCTGTTTTTTAACATTTTTTTCTTTTGGTTATTTCATGTTTTATGACATTTTTAAAAAATTGTTTAATTCAATGATTTTTCCTGGTTTTCTACAAATAATTTTAAGTTTTGTGAAATCAGTTTGAACTTTTCTGGGATTCTTCCGTGTTTTTTTTCTTAGGAGTTCGTTAAATTTCATTTTTATTTTATCTTAAAATCTTTTTTTATTTCTTTTGTTTTTGTAAAATGTTTTTTGGATTAATTGAATATTTTTGCATTTTGTGAACTTTAGGATATTTTTGGTTTTACAGAAAAAAATTGGCTTTTATAAAATCACTGTATTTTGTGAATTTTTGGTAGTTTTATAAATATTAAATTGGTAAAATCTCTAGTTTTAGTGAAATATTTTTTCCTTTTTTTATGAAGTTTTTTTTAGCATTTTATAAAAATTTCTGTGATTCAGAAAATAATTTAGTTTTTTAAATTTTATCTTGAAACTGAAATAATTACTTCTACTATCTGAGTATTTTTTTCTATTTTGGCCTTTTCATTATTAATTTTGTACTCTTTAATTTTTTCAATTTCATGAAACTTTTTAGAGTTTTTTACTTTGTGATATTTTTTGTGTTTTTTTTATCATTTCAAAAGTTTTAGAAAACATTTTTGAGTTTTATGAAATGGTTTCAAGTTTCATGGATTATTTTTGTAGAGGGTGTTTTTTTTTACTTTCCACTGAATGTTTTTAGGGTCCAGTCATCTGTATTTCTGATATCATGAGATTTTTGTTTACTCTCCCTTCAGGGCCACCGTTTCATAAACACTGAATGTTCAGATAAAGTGGGCGTGGCCTCACAGTGTCACTCATTGTTTTCTGGGCATGTCATGAATCTAACCTGCGTGTTTTCTTGTTTTGCAGGTTGTTCGACCTTTCGCTGGTGTGATGTTGAACAATATTTAAGGACTTCGATGAGCACAAATTTCAGCCTCACCCCCTCAGTAGCATCCTGTCATTTCACAGCTCCACGCCACCATAATCAGACAGAACTGCCACCGAGGCGCCACTTTTTTACTCGGACTTCGTAGCTCTAATTGTGAAGAACTTTGATAAATCATTTCACACAGTTATGCAGGGGAAATGTACAGAAAATCACGTTTCTGCCGAGTCTCGGCTCTCTGATATCAGGAGACTGAACTGAAGAAATATGAGATACCTGAAAAGTTCCCGTCCCCGGACCCTGTCTGAGCAGGAGGACCCTAAGAGGAGCAGCATGAAGGCGTGTTGGACCTGAAAATATTTCCTTGAGTAGATATTTCTCTGTGCCTACATTCAGAGGCGAGCTGGAACATGTTGGAGCTGTTGTTGTGTCGGTAGCTTTGGCTGCTGTTGTCCTGCGGAGGTCCATGAATCTGAGATCTGCTGCAGCCTGGTCCAGTTCTCTTTATTCTCTTCAGGTCTGGGAGCTCAGCTGGATTCTGAACCCTCAAATCTGCAAACGCTGTCTGTCCCAGAGTCAGCTTGCTACAGCTAGAGTTATACTGATTCATGTTGAAAATTAACGGTGGACTAAACTGCCGAGACCATCAGCCTGAGCTGCAGTTACTCCTCCAGAACACCAGATGGCAGTCTGTTTTCTATGCTGACGTGTTACGGGCACACATACTCAAATAAATATCATACAGAGAGAATGCTAATCCAAACAAACCCACTGTTAAAGTTCTTTATAACAGACTGAAGCAGCTAGCTACATGCTAACTTAAAGCACACACCTCTGGTAATGGGTGGGCGACAGACAAAGTCACTTCCACGAGTCGTGGCACAAATTTAGAGAGGTGAGCGTTGGATTATTTGAGATTTGAGGATGAAAAATGATAAACCAGGCACTAAATGTTAGCCAAGTTATTCATTCAACACAGATCGTCGGATTTGTCAAATTCTTTGTCTTTTTCAGTTGTTTTTTTTTTTTAGGTTTGACAGGTTTGTCGAATTTGTCAGATTTGTCGGGTTTTTCAGGTTTTTTTTTTTAGAATTGTCAGGTTTGTATGGTTTTTCTTTTTTTTTCAGATTTGTCAGATTTTTCCGGTTTTTCAGTTTTTTTTAAGATTTGTAAGATTTGTAGGGTTTTTTGGATTTGTCAGATTCGTTGAATTTGTCAGATATGTCGGGTTTTTCAGTTTTTTGTTTTTTTTAAAATTTGTGTATATCTGGATTTGAACAGCGTGTAATTGATTGTTGTCCCCCTCATACAGTTAGCTTCTTGTCAATGAAGTGTAGTCCTCCCCCATCGGTGAAGCCCCTGTGATTGAAACTCTGATTAAAGCGTCGGTTAGTAATAAGGCGTGACTCTGTGAACCAGCGCTGTGGTGGACCTGCTAACTCAGGTTAATCTGGACCCCCGTAAACTCAGCTGACCCGACGCTACGTGACACAACTCCAGCTCCATGAGCTGTTCCTGTACAGAGATTTGGTTCAGCAAGGACTTGGGCTGATGGTTTTTTTATGCCACGGATGTTAGGGGGCACTGAGATGTGTACAGATATTTACCTCCACTGTCTCCATGATCGAACCGTCATCCCAAACAGACTGTAAAAAAACAGAGAAGAAGAAAAAGAAGAAGGTTGGGCGTCTCTGTTTCACTTCCTGTGGTCTCTTGTTTTCACTCTTACAGAAATTACCGGGGCGTGCTGAGGGATTTTTTTCCTGATGTAAATAATATCTTTATTTTTCTATGTTGACACTCTTTGAGCTTTGACATTATTTACAGTGCAATGTTGTGCATGACTCACTGTGAGGGTGCACACAGGGTTTTATATGTAGCTGCTCTACATCTCACAGCAGGGCGACATGACAAACCAAATAAACCAACGGCTGGCTTTAGTCCCACCCAGACTCTGTGTGTGTGTGTGTGTGTGTGTGTGTGTGTGTGTGTGTGTGTGTGTGTGTGTGTGTGTGTGTGTGTGTGTGCTCTTTATTTTCCCCACCATCACGAGCTGCGGTTTGACGTCATCGATCCGTAAAAGTCCAACCACACGAATCCACTACGGATACGGGATACGGATATTTTTTTATTTCTCCACTTGTTTTTCCGGATTCAGATTTATCCGGTTTGAGTGCTCCAAACTCCCGTTTTGGTGTGGTAGGGAGGCCTAATCGGACATAAATATGTGCGGTTTGAAATATATCCGCATTCGTGTAGTTCGGGCCTAAGACTCAAGTATATTCATTTAAATAACACACGGTCTGACATACACAGGTTTAACGCGTTTATCAGGCAGGTAATACAGGGTCAGACTGAAGCAGGTTAAAAGACCTACATAACAATAATAATAATAATAATAATAATAACATCAACAACAATAATAATAGTAATTATTATTATTATTTTATTTTATTTTTTGTGGTTCCTTCAGCAGGAACAGAAACCCCTGCAGTGGTTCTGATTGCTGCTCTGATCTTCAATAAACTACATCCTGGATTATTGTTGGAGTCCAGGGGGGTATTCCACGAAGCTGGCTAAAGAAGGCTGGGCTATCGCCGGTAAGCGTGGCTTGAATAAGCGGCCACTTTAATCTTAGCTGCGACTCGTTCCACTAACGAGGCTCAGCTGTTTTCCAGAGACGCTTATTCAAGCCAGGCTGATCCAAGCCGCGGCTATGCGCGCCTCCGCGGTACATAAAAAGCCCCGACGTATCGATTGTCGAAATGACGAGATCGTGGGGAAAAAAGGGCAGAGCGGAGTCTTTCTCAGCGGCGGAGCAAACACTCCTCATGAAGTTGTACAAAGAGTACAAGGGAAAATTTCATAAGAAGGGCAACACTGTTGCCATTGTGAAAGCCGGAGATGGCGTGGTAAAGTATCGCGGACCGTTTAGATTCGTAAGTTATAGCCGACAAATATTTTACAACCGACGCATGTCTCGATGCAGTCAGCATGCTTGGCTGTCTGATTTTATTCCTCACTTCTGCGTATGTACTGTAAACACTTTTTTTTTTTTACTTTTCATCTCATGTAAGTGCAGCTCACTCATACAGTCTGTCAGCCTCTGTGCAGCACCTTCGCAGCAAGCAGGGGCGCTTACAGCAGCAGGGGGCGCCAATTTGACAAGAGTTAATACAAAACCGCTTTGCGGTGCAGATTTATTATTATTATCTTTTTTCTTTCTTTTTTGGAAGTGCTCGTGCCGCCCCCCATGAGTCATGACACAAATGCCGCCCCGGGCCAAGAACCGCTACTGTACTGTAGGCATAATTCATGTTCTTGATTTGACAAATAGATAGCCATGATGTCTTTCTTTTTTTTTTAATGGGGATGATGGTGGCACAGCGCCCTTCATTTAAATAAGGGAGAAGACACAAATGAGCTTGTACACAGAGTAGTCATGTCGTCATTTGCCATCACCTTTACATTATCATCATCATAATCAGAATGGACCAATGGTGAGAGGAAGGTTTTTTTTAATGGGAAATTGCTGCTGTTGTCGCCTTCAGTGTTTTGGATGAGATCGTTTGTGCCTTTATTCTGTTATGTGTTGACAGTACATTGAGAGTCACAGAATAAAAGAAAGAAAATCTGATATTTCCAAATAATTACCGCTGACGGGATCGAACCCACAGAGCAGTGCAAAACACATTTTACCGTCACTTCTCTTCAGCTACTGAATTTCTCTTGCTCTTTGAGGTTGGCGTAGTATTGGGCATGTCCGGATTCACGTATTCACGTATAAATTGTTTTAAAAAGCTCTCAATTTATTTTTCCGAACAAGAGCATCATTTATTACAGATAAAGATGAAATTACTGTGTGACATGCGGTTCACAAAGCGTCTTCTGGAAGCCCGTCAGAGCTTCTCTGAGACGCAGCTAAGGTTAGCTTGACCGTAAGCCTGCCTGGGACCAGGCTTGTCGCGCTGGCTGAGTTACCATGGTTACCAAGCCACGCTAGACCTAAGCCTCGTTTGTAGAACCAAACTCTCACTAAAATTAGCCAAGCTAACCGAAATAAGCCAGGCTTTGAGCAAAGCCAGCTTCGTGGAATACCCCCCAGGTCAAGTCGTGATTTTAGGCACTGGAACAGGTTTAAGGAGGAGAGAAGGTGGTTTTATTCATGTAACAGTGATGAGCTGTAAAAGCTTGAGAGGTTTTATAGTAGAATATAGATAAATCACAATGAATGACTGATAATGTTGTGAGAGCCAAACATGTCTGAAGTGGAGTTCATCTTAATGTTAGTCGTCATGACGGGTTTTAGGGGTTGGACTTGGACCTGTTCCCCCAGTCTGCTACACTATCTTCACTGCAGTATGCAAAGGCATTATCTGAGTCTGCAACTGTCTCTTCAGGAGGTAAGTTCCTTTTCTCTGAAAACTTTTAAACTTTTTAAACTCTTTAAATCTGGTTTCATAGATTTCAGGAGAGACTGTGAACATGTAGCAGAGATCAGTCATTTCATCTAAACTCTGTAAACGCACTTTGTAAAGTTTGGGGTCATCACTGAGAGTCTTTGTAGGGGCCCGTTGAGTCTGGTCAGTTTGTAAAAAAACAGATTGGACTTTATTTTCACTTTTACTCTCCCCCTCCTCCTCCCTCTCTCTTCCTCGATAAACAGGACGCTGTACGAACGTTTGAATTCTACGTATTTGTTACTCACACACACCTACATCGGTGGGCAACTATTTGGCAGACTGTCTGGGGTCCATCCATCCTGCATTTTTGGTGAGATGTAAGTCTTTTGGTATTTCCCTGCCTGAACATTTTAATGAAGAAGAAGAGCAGACTGAGAGTAAAGCGCCCTCTGGTTGTGGTTGTGTTATAGTTTTTCACAATTGCTAAAACTCATTTCTTGACACCTCCACCCATTTTCTCAAATCCTTGAACACAAATCCAAAAATCCAAATAACATTCACCAAACCCTGGACTCTTCCTGTCATCTTGTTTAGGCTGTGACGCCTGTTCCTCAGATGTGTTTAGCTCTTGTTTTAGTGAGTGAGAATGTGTTTGCTGGTTGTGTCTAACCTGGAGAAAGGTGCCATAAGAGTGACAGATTCAGACTGCTGACCTTTTAGTTCAGATGATAAGAGTTAGTGTTTTAGCAACTAAGAGTAATCAGTCAGAGTTCAGACAGAAACAGAGCGTTTTAGTTTATAAAGCTGAACATAGAGGCTGGTCGACAGCAAAGTGTATCCTTCATTTTTTTCACTTTAAGAATCATAAATCATATATCAATAAAAATGTACGTTTTATGAATAATCCACAGAGTAATCTCAGGGAGGTTAAACAGAAACTGTCACATCAACAACAATGAAATTGGACACGTCTTAGTGTCCACAAGGTTCACAAATGTGAGAAGCGTTGAGGTTGGGGGTTCGATCCTGTTGCAGGTGACTCCAGCATAAGTCATTCCGAACCCCCACCCCCGTGCCAACCTACCGTACCTAAGGGTTCTACAAAAGTTTCTCTCTGCTCTTCCGTCTTGAAAAGTCGGCCACTAACACATCAAAGTTGAGCTGTCGAACAAACTCTGATTCTATTGCAAGAAGGGAGAGTGAATTCAACTGATTTTGGCACATTTTCATCCTGAGCTCATTTTTTATTCGAGCCAGTCTGGAGAATGACCATTCCCCTTCACAGTTTGTTATTGGCAGGGTCAAAAACAGTCTGAGTGCTATGTAAACATTTGGGAAAGTGGACTGTAAATCCAAATTTACCATGGTCTTTAGCATTGTATTTGGGCATTTTTGTTCTTCTGAAATGAATGATTTGTACTGAACAAGTTCATCTGCCAAGCTCATGGTCAGATCAGTGGGATATGCTGCAGCAAGAGATTCTGCCCTTAAAGTGAGCTCACCGTTGGACCTATTGTCAGGCATGAAAAGAACATGAAAAAGATTGGTCAAGTGTGTGTATGCAGTTAACCAATGGTTAAGGCAGGACACAAGTCTACAGAAACCTACAGAGCTACAGAAACCATTCAGGGCTTCAAAAATTCAGCTCATTGAGGACATTATGGGGTGTATTCAGGATTTTTATTCAATTAAATTTTCCCCATTTTAAATTCACTCAGTAATAATGCATTCCTCAATTCTTTGAGCAAAGTAAAACCTTTTCAAACTGATTCAAACCTTACTGATACTTAAAACCTTTCTAATACTTGAGGATTTTTAATTATTAAAAATTTCCCTGTTTAAAATAGTTTTAGTATTCATGCATTATTCACCCCTTGAACAAAATCCCACTTCTACTACTACAACTACTGCTAATATCAATTAAACTAATACTTTGACTTCTACTTCAACTACTATTGCTACTATTTCTACTTTCTCTACTGCTACTACTACTTCTACCTCTAGCTCTGCTACTTTGACTTCTCCTATTCTCAAACTATTTCTACTGCTTACATGACTACTAATATCACTACTTGACTACTTATCATACTACCACTAGAACAACAAATTAAACTTATGCCACTTCTCACCTTCCTGCCTTTTAAGGTAATTTACTTCTTCATTCAAACTTTGTGCAATTTCAGTCATTTTTCTGGCCTCTTTCAGCATGAATAATATTTCAATTTATGGAGTATATTCATACTGTTTGTCCTTCAACCATTTTCACAATTATTCAACTTCTATTTCTTTTTTACCCCTTCAACAGCTTTAACATTTATACCTTTCTCCATGTTTTATTAGCAGTTTAGCATTGCTTTTTCAGCTTTCAGCACTCAGTATTTCCACACATTTTCTGCAAGGAAATGCAATTTTTCTAGTTCCACTTAGACTTTTGTTCACTGAAAATACAGTAGCCCTTACAATGGCTCTAAGTCTAGTTAAGGTACACTATTATTACAATACAATACAATACAATACAATGTAAATGTAAATGTCAATGAGCTTTTTAATAGGGTGTTGGATGCTAAATCTGATAGTCTAGGAAAGGTTTTAATGTAAGAATGTTGTTAGGAGTTTCGATAAGTGGATTTAACAGTATTGGATTTTCACTTAAACTACCAAAATTTCTACCATGTGAGGAGTTTCGATAAACGCAATGCCAAGTGTAATGTGGGAGTGTTGTATAGATATTGGATTTTCACTTGGACTTCACTTTGTTGGCATTGGTGTGTACAGTACACCCCTTTACAGTGGGGACATAAGGAAGCGAAATCTGCGAAGTGAAGCAGGGTGAAACTCAGTGTTCTGAAGGTGAATATCTACCAGTCTACTACTCTCCTCAAAGATAACTATAGGTTATAATGACACGTGAATCTGCTGTGTATTGTGACTGGACCACTGTACAGCCTGCCCCTGAGTCTAGCTCGGCTATTGGACACTCGCTTCACAATATGGTCGCGACGCGCAATAGATTTGCATGCACCTGAACACAAGGTATGCAGATATGTGCGCATGTTGCAATATTGACACAACCACGAGGGGCGATCTTCCGAACTTCCATGTTGAGCTCGTGGTAGAGTCAAACAATGGTGGAAAATATTAATGAGAGCCCAGTTGGCTATCTACCCCCTACATGATACCGCCAGTATCCAATGTTGCCAATCGCTAGATTTAGCGACTTTTGGCCGTCTCTGGTGACTAAAACCTCATCTAGCGACTTAGCGGCTTTTTAGGTGAATCTGGCGACTATAAAAAAACACATCTCTCGAGTGTCAAAATAATTGTTTTTCAATGTAACTTCAGCTCTGCACCGCCACCAGAAGCTTATTTTATGGTTAAGCAGCACTGCGCATTAGCCCTGATCTCGAAACTGTTACCTTTGGGATTGTCAACATAGCCATGTAGACACATTTTCTTGAGATCAGTGAGTCGTGTCTGATGTTATGAAATCATAGTGACATAATCTAGCGACTTTTCAGAGAGCCAATAGCGACTTTTGGTGATTTGTTTTTGGCAACACTACCAGTATCGTGCATAGTGCTCTGATTGTTCTGCTGCAAGTATGTGCGGTTGCGCACGTAAATTAAGTCACACAGCTAGCATATCCTGGGCCTTAGGGCTCACTGAAAGGACTTTCTTTTAAAACCCTTGGTAAATCAGAGGCCCTTTAAGAACATTTGTAATCAGAGGGCTCTCTTAACAGTATGCTCTCCCATTAGGGCTCTCCCTAGGGCCCCCACATAGCCAGAAGTCACGACCCTTAGCAGGGGCTTTCATAATCATAGGGCCCTCTGAAAGCACTCCCCCCTACTTCCTTGAACTCCTAGTTGGTAAATGTTAGGGCTCCCTTAGGAGTATTCACGAGAGGCACTACAGCAGGGCCAGCCCAGGGGCCCTCTGACTGCTGTCCCCCATAGACAAAGGGCCCTCTGATTGCCATCCCCCATGGCCCAGGGGCCCTCTGACTGCCATCCCCCAAAGCCCAGGGGCTCTCTGATTGCCGTCCCTGTCCCCCCCGCTCAATTCATATCACCCTTCTCTCTTGGTTCTCTTCAGATATGCCCTATAACAGTGTAAGTAGTCATAAGATCCTAGAGAATAGAGGCCCTCTGACATCGCAATTGGCATCAGCATCTGCATTGCTTTGGAAATGAGGATCCATGATCCTGCTCCTGAGTGAGAAACATGACACCTGTTTATAACCCCAGGTAGTAATTCAGTTACTGGCTGTGATCACTTTTGTTATGGCTTCAGTATTAACCATTAAAGGGCTATTTCAGTGTTTTTGAATTGAGGTTCTATGAGTTACACAATGAGAACATTTGATTTTGTACTATTTAAAGATGTTTGTTTTGGTCTGCAGATAGTGAAAAAAAACTTAGGCTGTGTCCGAAATGGCATACTGCCTACTATCTACTTACCTACTCAAGCAGTACCTACTGCCTACTGACTAATCAAAGATGATTTGAGTATGCTGCGGCTGCCCGAGCGTTTACATACAGATGCATACTAAATACCCCAGAATGCATTTCATGCCGGCCGGACGCAGCGCCGGGAAAATTTAAATAGTCCTACCACAAGCTACACAGAACGACTGCATTCCGGACAAATTATATAAATTCATTCAATAATAATATTTTTTCTAGCGAGAAAGTAAGTGTTTACATCACGATTATGAGCCCAGTTGTTTGAAATAGTGACTGTATGTAAATTTGTTAATTTGATAATGCTATACACCACCTGCTAGGCGTGTGATGAGCAGCAGAGGGCTGCAAAATGACCAACACACAACATAATTATTATGACCTTGTTCGGTTATTCCTTGGCAAATACATCATTTCCCGACTACATTCTTTTCATGTACAATGATAATTTCAGAAACCATCAGATTTTCAACCACAAGTAAGAATTAGTAAAGCTCACATACATTATCAACTGGAAACTCCCCCGTTTGTATATTCTGAACCATGTGCTCTCTACCAATAAAATTTTTATTAATCAGAGGTCTGTGCTTAATATGAGTGACCACTTTGATGATGCATTCAGAGATGAGAAGATGCTCAAACTTGATGTAATAAATACATCTTTAATAGACACTTAAATAAATAAAGTCAATTCATACGAATAGTTAAAAACATTACCTATAATCCTAATTTAAAATACAAATAAATCTGGTAAAAAGATCAAAATATGATAAAATGATAAAAATTGTGTAATGTATACTGACTAAATATTGTTTATCTATTTATATATATATAATTATTATTGCAGTCACATGCCATCTATTTCTTTTCAGCCTCGGGAAAGAGGGCCATATTACCAGCTGAGGTGCGCAATGCATTGTGGGGCAGAAGCAGTACGTGAAGCAAGCTCCGTTCCACACTCAGAAATCTAAGCCGATTGAGTATACATCCAGGCATTTCTCGCATACACAAAATTCGCATACCGTACAGTGTGAACGCACTGCCTACTCAATTCAGAGGCGGGATTAGTAGGAGTAGTAGGAGTAATATGCCATTTCGGACACAGCCTTAGACTCTCTCTGATGTGGAAGTGCCAAAAAAAATGTCCCAGTAAAGTTTATAAATCAGAAAATCTCATGGCAGAGTCCCCCCTTCTGCAGAAAACTGTAGCCCAGCTTATGTGCAGGATCTCTCTGCAGTTTCTCAGGAAAAGGTTCAAGCTGACCAACTTCCATTTAAACTTTAACACTGTTATACTACCACTATTACAGTCTCACTCCAAAAACACTGAAATAGCCCCTCAAGTTATTTTGTACATTTCATTGTAAACTCTATCTTCTGTGTTATATTATTTCAGCTTTGTAAAGTTGTTGATTAATTTTTTGTTTATGAAATTATGTATGATGAAAAAACATCATCTTAGCATGTACAGGACAACATCTTTGTTGGGGTTGGCAGCTATCAACTATATAAACAAAGTACGGTTTATTTATATCTGTTTTTAAAGTTGTTTGTGGTGCCTTTCAAAATACAAAACAACTGAAAGATGTTGAATAAACATCAGTGTATGAAAAGTGACATGTGCTGTGTTTGCTGTTTGTGACAAAAGGCTTATTGACAACTTAAAAGAATGATACCCCCCTTTAAAGGCTTATTTATTTGTAGACATTTTTATTCAAAGATGGAAAAACCCCAAAAGACAAAATATACCAAGAAATCCATACGTACAATAACAATTATACAATTACAGTACATTAAAAGCAGTAATGTTAAAGAAACACTGTTTATGGAAAATCAAATTGTGTTGCAAAACATTAACAAAAGATGGATGATTATAACAATGAAAATGACAACGATAATACTACCACGACCACTTATTACTTCCACTACAACAACTACTAATAATGATGATACTACTACTACTACTACTACTACAAATAATGATCATAACAATAATAATACTAATAATAATAATAACAAAAATACTACTACTACTACTACTAATAATAATAATAATATTAATAATTATACTAATACTAATACTACAACTAGTAATAATAACAACAACAACAATAATAATGATGATGATAATACTACAACTAATAATAATCATAATAATAACAACAACAATAATACTAATAATACTAATACTACTACTTCTACTAATACTAATAATAATACTAATAATACTAAAACTACTATTACTACTACAACTACTACTACTACTACTAATAATAATAATATGAACAATAATAATAATAATAATAATAATAATAATGATGATGATGATACTACAACAACTAATTATAATAACAACAACAACAATAATACCTATAATACTTCTACTACTACTATTAATAATAATAATAATAATAATAATAATAATAATAATAACAACAACAACAACAACAACAACAACAATGATAATAATATTAATGATGATGATAATACTACAACTAATAATATTTATAATAATTACAACAACAATAATACTAATAATACTAATACTACTACTTCTACTACTACTATCAATATGACTACTACTACTACTACTACTAATATTAATAATAATAATAATAATAATATTACTTCCAGATTCCAAAAGACTAGAATAATGAAATCTAAAATGCACACATTATAAAAACCTAAATAAATAGACGTCAATGTTGAGGTCAAACAGCCCCACCTGCCGTCTAAACGCTCTTCCTGCAGCTGCCGCTTTCAGGCCTGTTCTCCTCCTGGCCGGCAGGGGGCGGTAACATTCTCAGGAAGCAGAAGAAGAGCGGCGCTGTCCCCGGTTCTCCCTCTTCCTTCCGCGGCCTCAGAGGTAGGAGAGCAGTCCCACATATGAAGATTAGAATCCGTCTTTAATCTCAATGAAATCTTTATTATCCTGCGTTTTAAACTGCTGCGTTTGATAAATGTTTATCTAACTAAACAGAGTGGGTTAGATTTTTGAGTTTGGGTCTGTAAATCCAATTAAATCTGGTTATTTTGAGGCGCCGGTTTCGTGGCTTTCTCATCATGTCCGCCATGTTGGCTTCGTTAAACGATGTTGTTCGATCAAATATCCTGTTTTTCAGTTTAATTAGCAGCGTTTACCTCCTTAGATTACTGTATTCTGTTAAGTTTGAGTTTAGGTTATCTGTTGTTCTTTGTATTTCGGAGGTTAAATCAGCAGAAATGTGAATTTAACTCTTTAATGTCTCTCCTCTCAGATCTCTGAAGATGGTCCGCTACTCTCTCGACCCCGAGAACCCGACCAAGTGTGAGTGTTTCATCGTGTATGTATGTGTGTGTGTCAGAGTGAACATGTGAGCTGTGATGACTTCTTAGGACACCTTTGGATTAAAGCTGAAAAGAACTCGTTAACACACCTGAGCTGTCACGTGTTTATTCCACGTTAACCTTCGGTCTGATCCAACCGGAAACACTGAATCATGTTTTTTTATCATATGTTTTATTTCAGCATGCAAGTCCAGGGGCTCAAACCTCCGGGTTCACTTCAAGGTAAGAACAAAAGTCCTCCTTTAACGTCTCTCAGAGGGACGAGGAAAGTCCAGGAAACAGGTTTATCTGTCTGTGATGGAGTTCTTTAGTTTTCAGAGATAATTCAAGTTTACAGGAGAATCATCTGTTTGTACAGTGAGATTATCTTGAGGGAAAGAAGTTAGTGTCTGGGGTGTCTTATGTGGATAAAATATAAAACTAAAGGGTTGGTGTTAAGGGGTCAAATAGCTGATTTCTTTGAAATTCACCTCTCTGTCCTCGTCTGTGGTCACCTGCTGCAACCTGACTCAGAGTTCACACACTTAACAAACGCCTGTGTCATGATCACAACCTCTTAACTCTGGTAACAGAATATTGCTAAAGCTGAGTGCTGTCTGTATGAAGGTGTGATCCAGGGCTTTACACTAACTCTTTTCATGAGGAGTACATGTTCTCCTAAGTTAAAAAAGTAAGGAGCGCTAAACCCCAGTAAAACTAAATAAAATCTGTCCTAATATTCCAAATATCTGTGTGTAGAGGAAAAAGGAACATTGTTCCATTGGCCCTCATTTATCAAGCTTGCGTATGGCAGAAAACTTGCGTACGACTATTTTGACGTGAGGATCGGCATTTATCAATCTGCACGTGAGCGTACACTACGACCAAATCTCACAACAGGTCTGACATCGTGTTCACAAGTTTGAGTCAGTGTGGATCTGCGGTGCAGCAAATGTCTGTCTCAAAATAATTGATAAACAAACCTCAAACCTGTCATTTAGCACAATCAGCCAGATTTCATTAAAGAGTAAGACGTAAATAAAATAAAAAATTTGTTATGTCCTTCGTGAATAGGCCTATTTGATAACTCTGCCCAGAAACACTGCCACAGAGCAGGAGCGCCGTTTCAACATTACGCACACATGCACACGCGCCACTGTGGAGCGCTGCGTATGACTCCTAAAAGGCAGGTGTCTCTGTCTTGGTCCGGCAGCGGGGACATTGTTGTACACACCTGAAAGGGTGTGGGACATCATTTGGGCCAGTACAAATTTGCACAATGTTGCACTGGCGAATGGAGTGCTGCTGGCTGTGCTGGTATGACGTGAGGACCCTATGCCTAGAGAACAATAACGAGGAGAGACTCCACAAAGGTGCTGTACAGAGGAGACAGGACCTTATCAATGCATTCTGACAAGTAAAGTATAAGTTTAGAAAGTGTTCTTGCTATTTAATCAGTGATAAAAAAGAAATCCATAAAAATGTACCTCAGGAGCAGCAACACACCGTTTGGTGACGTTAATAATTATTATTTTTGTTGAGCCTCTGTCAGACTCTCCAGTCTGCTCTACATTACAAAGATGCAACAGATTAAAACTAAATACTCTCAATAATAGGAGCAATGCACCCTATGTCAGGGCAATAAACAAATGAGTCATGTATGAGATATTAATTTATCATCATGAGCAACTTAGTGACTAATGATTTATTCAAACTTGAGCCACTGTCCGCTATTCCATGGCAGCGCTGTTCAGCGCCACTATAATCCTGCTCCAGACAGGAGTTTTCTGGACTGCTTTTATACCAGTTTTGATGCTTCCAAAGAGAAAATCCTCGTTAGTTTCTACCACAGATGTGAGGATATCCACTTTCAGCTCGGAAAAGTTTCAGATCTTTCTAATATTTCTCCTCTTTCAGAAGTGGGTTTAGAAGTGGGTGAGGCTTCTAAACCACGAAGATTTTAGGGCGTGACATGTTAATGACGATTGATTTCAGCCACCTGATCATACGTACGCTGGGATTGGTCAGATACGAACCCTTTCATAAATCTCAGGTGTGTCCTATCGTACTATGATGAATCCTGCGCTCAGATCTGTGCAAGATTGATAAATGAGGGCCATTGTGTTTGGGAATGCTCAAAAGTACAATCATTTTGGCAGAATTTGATGTGGGCCATTTCCCAGATGGTGGGTGGTGGTGATGGTGGTGGTAAGAATGTTCCCCTGCAAGCCAAACTCTGTATCCTGGGTATATACCCTGAAAATTTAGTTGTCGGCTCTAAAGTCAGTATTGATTAATTCAGGGCTTCTACAATCTACAAGACTGATCGCTCTTTTCTGGAAAAATCTACAGTTGCCCTCTGTAAAGTTATGGTTGAAGGAGATTGAAACACATCTTGCGTTGGAAAGACTTACATATATCATATGGGGGAAAAGAAAACAGTTTGTTACAGGATGGAAACCTTTTTAGGGATTTTTGGAGGATGAGAATGTTGTTAGAACTTGAGGTCTTCAAGTCACCACTGCTGCTACTTTTTTCAGTTGTTTTTTGTTACTACTGTTTTACTACTATTTTAAAATTTTATCTTTATTCACTTATTTTTCTCTTCTTTCGATTTTTTGATAGTTTTGTTGTATAGTGCACTTATACATCATTGCTATTGCTGCAGTGTTTGTATGTTTTTCTTATATGTAAAAACTTCATTAAATGTTGTTTTAAAAAAGCTAAGGAACTCGCAAAGAACTTTAGAGGATCAATGAAAATTTATCAATAATGTTTGTCTTATTGGTGGATCTTAGTACTGTTATTAGAAATCGATTTTAGGTCTATTGGTCACATGACATGGAAGCTATTGAAGGAAAACAGCCTTTTCTGAAAACATCAACCGGTAATTTATTGACGGTCCCTTATTCAACACCCAACATTTACAGCGAGGGTGCCGAGTAGATTTAACCGCGCTGCTGTTGTTATTCCTGGTTATGGAGAGTGAAAAGACAACGGTAGATCCTCAGTGAATGTCCATCAAATATCCAACCTAAAACTAACTTCACCACAGTATTTACAGGGGAAAAAAACCATTAGATTTTTTTTAAATTTTTTTTTTTATGCGCACATGTGACCCTAAATACATTTAACTATTCACACACATCTATTTTAGTCACTAATGTGAGTGAAACGGTTGCTGTCGAGTCCTGATCTGGGGTATATTGTATGTATAAAAGGTAATACTAAAGGGTCGGGGTTATGGGGCCAAAAAGTTGATTCCTTCTAAATTCGCCTCTCTTCACTGATCTGTGGTCACCTGCAGCGCCCTGACTCAGGCTCTGTAGAGGGGAGGTCCTGAAGTCCACCGTCTACCTGATGCCTTTTGACATGAACTCTCTCAGGCGGCTGTTTTTAAACTTGAAGCTGTTCAGACAGTGCCTCTTAACTCTATTGTTGGTTGATTGAAGTTTAATTTGAATATGCAAACCAAAAAAGAGTGAGGAGAAGAATATCTTCTGAACCCCAACCCTTTCCCTTTTAATTAATAATTACCCACACCAAGCTTCCTTACAACTTGTTTAGATGTACCTGATAATTATAAAGTACATTCATGACTTTGTATTACAATACAAAATCTACATCCACTTCATACAGCACACACTTAAAAACAACAAAACAAAATAAAACAAAGAAACAAAAAATACCAAAAACAAAAGCAACAATAACCTCAGAACACATAGTGCTCCCCAACACCTTCCTCATCCCTGTACCTCTAAAAATGGTGTCTTTATACCTCACTTTAAACTGTGTAAACATGTTTGAACTTTAACTCCATGGATAACCTGAAACACAAAAACCCTTCCTCTTTGTGCGAATTAAAGTCAGATTAAAGTTAATTTTTCCCCTTAAATTATAACTGATAACACATACCGAATAATTTATGTATATTTTATTGGTAGATAATTATTTGAGCTGTTTGATATTCCACAATGTCTGTGAATTTTAACAACTTGGAAAACTGCAGAAATAAGAAGTGTGTGTGTTCCTGATAGCCAACATTGTGTAGAACTGGTATTGCTCTGTTTTGAATGGTGGTTAGTGGCTGTAGTGATGTTTTATAGTTGTTACCCCAAACCTCAGTACAGTATTGGAATTTTGGTGAGATTAGGGAACACTAGCCCCGTTTATATGGGTAGTTTTCCTCCACCTGATTGAAATCAATCAAATTAATTGAATCTGATTCCATCTGTATACATGAACTTTAAGTAAAGAGATCCACGTTCAATCCGCGTTTACATGGCCTCAGCTGAATCCGATTGTATTTTTATTTTTTTTTTACATGCACAGAAGGTCACTCTGCCACTACCTGTAATAATGTAATACAATACGCTGTCTTTAGCACTTTCCAGCGTGTTTTAATTTGCTCGATAGTCCTGTTCACTCCTCCAGCCTCCAGCATTTCATGTTCTTGTTTGAACAACTCTGTGTTTCGTGACTTTCTACCATCTAACCTCTCAACAATTTTCAACTCTCACAAGGTTTCTATCAAAAAGTTTGTCTCCCCCACTGCCCAGTTTTTCTAAGGTGTTTATATGAGACACTTTGAATCTGATTGACCTTTCAATCTGATTGTAAATAGGATTTTTGGACCCATGTAAACGGGGCTACTGATGAAGAGTGTGAAGTGATTTTTTTGTTTAGTTTTGCGATGCTTCTTGAGACTTTGATTTGTATGTGTTTGGTTTGTGATTTCCAAGTGATTCTGTCGTCTCTGGTGACCCCTAATTGTCATTGGTTATTTTACTTAATATTTCTAAGGCTGAGTTGTCTGTATAAAGGTGTGATTAATGATTACCTGTCATTATTAATGATGATCTGACAGGGAAATTCTGGTTGTGAGGCAGGAGCAGCTGCTCTCTGTGAGACTGTTATTCTGTTAGGTCAGACCTGGATGTTAAAACTGTTGACTATGAAACTCGTTGCGGTGTCAGCGGATGTTTGATGGCGTTTGTTTTTCTCATCAGAACACCCGTGAGACGGCCCAGGCCATCAAAGGCATGCACATCCGCAAGGCCAACAAGTACCTGAGGGACGTCATCGTCAAGCACCAGTGTGTCCCCTTCCGCCGCTACAACGGAGGAGTCGGCAGGTGTGCCCAGGTGAGCTCTGACTGACCAATCAGGAGTCTGTTTGTGTTAAAGCTGCAGTGATGACCATCTTAGGACACCTTTGGATGAACCATGAAAACAAACCTTTAAATCTGAGTGGCGTCTCTAGATAAACCCGCTCTGTCAGGGGGCAGAGCTTCCTCTCACCTGATCTTTGTGTTGTTGTTTTTCAGGCCAAACAGTTCGGCTGGACGCAGGGACGCTGGCCCAAGAAGAGCGCAGAGTTCCTCCTGCACATGCTCAAAAATGCTGAGAGCAACGCTGAGCTGAAGGTACGACTAAAACTCCTGCAGGGTCTTACTGCGGTCCTAGTGCTGGTCTTACAGAGGGCCATGCCTCCATGTTTTAGAGACCATCACATCGATCAGCTGATTACCTGGGACTCATCTAAGGGAGGCTGCAGTGATGACCATTTAGGACACCTTTGTATGAACCATGAAAACAAACAAAGTCTGAGCCCCCTCCCTCAGAGCACACACTGATGCTGATGGTTTTTGTCTGTAGTGAGTCTCAAGAACCCTCAGGTGCTGGTTTGAGAGGGTCCCTGAGAACTTGTAGGGGTACTGTAGTTTTCTCTGTCAGTGTTGATTGAGGCTCACACAGGTGAGGTCACCTGAGCCCAGCACAGGTCTGACCACTCATATTGACACCTCCTTAGATCAGGGTCTGGAGAAATGTCGGCCCAAGAATCCGTCTGAGGAAAAACTGCTGACTCCAGGAAGGAGAGAGGGAGCTGAGAAAATCCAGTTTGACTCTCATTCTCAGACTACAGGTCTACATCCAGACCCTAGACTGTATGTAGCCAGGGTTGCAAAATTCCCGGAATTTTCAAAGTTGGAAACTTTCCACAGGAATAAATCTGAAATGTCCAAAACTGAAGGTTGGCCCTCAACAGGAACTTAAATATAGTTGGTGAAATATCTTGTAGCATAATCTTGACTAAAACAACCAGATTTAATCTAAGTCCACTCCTCAATCACATGATCACACAGCACACTGCTACTTGCAGGGCTATTGAGGCCGCACCCGCTACATGCACTGTGCCGAAATGAAAAATTTGATGTCACAATATTGGTAGCCCAAAATATCACAATTCACGATATTATCACAATATTAGCGCATTGCTTTTAACGTTATTAAAAGTGGCAAAACTGCGAAATCACTTCTCTGTGCCCAGCATGACATGCACAAACAGTATGAGCAAGAGGCAGCTAACATCACTAATGTTGTCAATAATAAGCAGTAGAGTCGACCAAACTTGTTGTGGTCATGTTTTTACCTTGATTTGGGCGAACGATGCTGGATGGTGTTCACGGAGGTGGGCACGTAGGTTTGAAGTGTTAGACAACTGCGCTGCAACTTCCTTACTGCATAACCTGCAGATTGGTGTTAGGTTTACCTACTCCGTCTGTTTTGTGAAGCCGTAAAACGTCCATACTGCCGACGAAACCTTTTTAATAGGAGGATACAGCCGAGGCGTTTCGTCATTCATAGTCTGCAACTGTTCTTGGTCCGGTGTTATGCCGTAGAATGCACCCCTGCCGTTGAATGCACCCCTGACAGGAGCACGGTTGAAAGTACACAACAAGGTGAAATAATCAAAGTTTTCCTTACCGTTGGGTGGATTCAAAAGCGTGTGGCTTTAATGATTTCATTCAGACTATTCAGATAAGCCGAAAACAATAGCCCTCTGATTCGGAATATTTGCTGTCCCGACAGTTTACTGTACAGTTTATGTACCCAAGTACACCTCTGTATGTGCATTTTTGGGGACACATAAAAACAGAACCAATTTGACATGTCATGATCCAGTACTCGTGTTTTTAAACTATCAGATCATATCTCCTCCACTTTAAGAAGCTAATGAGCGTATGGGATGCATTGTGGACACGCTCCAACAGTGCTTTGAGTTGCCGCAATGCATTGTGTGTGGCCACGCATTTTGTGGTAAAATTTCTTCATTTTCTCTTTTAAGGTTCCCGGTTTTGTTAGGCTGGCATTAATGTACTTAATTCGAGTTTTTTTTTTTGGATTTGGGACTACTTTTGTGGTGGTTTGTTTGTACATTTTGCTACAGAGGCTTTGACACCGTCGGTAAGACTACAAGCAGGTTAGGTTTGTTAAAACTCAGCTTCACTCACCTCCGCTGAGTGACGCTGCCATGCGCCTTTTAAATTATAATTGTTGAACGATTATTACAGTACCTTACAATTTTGAAATCTCGACCGTTTAATATCGCATATCGCGATTAAATTGTGTATCAGCACATCCCTAACCCCCTACATGCACTGTGCATTCCTCCATCACATGATTCACAGATGATTTCTTGAATAAAAATAGGTGCTAAATTTAAGTTATTTTTCATTTCATTGACCATTTAAGGGGCTAGCTTATTATGGTGGTGGTAACTGCCTCAAATGTGATGTTGTTTCTTCTGACTCCTGACAGACGGTTTTCTGTAACCAAACAATAATTTATACATCAATTATCAAATATTTGGAAGACCATTCCAGTTATTCAGCCAACTATATTTCTGTTCATGCGATTGCATTAGTGTTTTTACAAGATTTTTATTTCATTCTACAGAAAAATGTCATGTTCACAATCTGAGTGGAAGAATGTCACACAAGCTAAAATATTTACATGTATGTTTGGATATGATACAGTTTGTTTAAGGGTCAATGACGTATAAGGTTTTTCAACATGCCAATTTTAAAATACCAAAAATAATATCTTTTGCAACAGTTCCAACACTAAGGATGTTATGTATACAAAAATTAAAGTTTAATTTTTAAATTAGGCAATTTTAGTGTTTTTTCATCTAGATGAATTGCCTGTGGCCTTAAAAAAATGTCATGTGGTGCGACCATCATTTATCTCAAAATTATTACATTTTTTCAACATACTCCATAGTTTTTTACAAAATGTCGGTAATATCAAGAACATAGGAAGAAAGCGTTCGCTTTTTATTTGAGTTTTTGTAAATAATGATCTCATATATTAGCTCTATAATGTCACAGTCGCTATATCAAATGTAGTTCACTATTTTTTTCTTTAAATTGCATAATACTGATAAAAATGTTTTGAAACTACCTTTCATGTAAGCATATTGTATCAGGTATTAATGTCTCAGTTACAGAAATGAGATATTTTAGTTTGTATTTGATATAATTAATGTTATTATTGATCGCAACCACATGATTGGTGGTCGCGCCAAATGACCTGAAGACCTTGTATCATTAAAAATCAATTTAAAGAGACCAATGAACAATTAATTTCATACAAATTTTATATTTAAACCAAATTTTATTAACATTTCAAACATGAACACGAACATTTTATTTCCCTTTTTTACAAAAATTTAACTCTGTTTGTGTATGTGGTCCAGAGGCCTGCACTTTGAAGCTGGATTAACACAACCAGCATAACTCTGCCACAACTCGCTCAACTTCACCAGATCTCCGTAATCCCGATCAGCTGTACTACGAGGCAGGATATCAACTCGCTAACTAAATTCAGTTGTGGTCAGTCTAGATCTGTGCGCGCACACGTAAAGGGGGTGGGGTCAGTGGCACCGGACCATTCTCCACAATGAAGAAGGCTGCATGTCATATTTCACAGCCGAGGAACAGAGTATTGTTTTACGCTATTACGAGGAGTACCGCAACATTATAACAGTGAGGAGCAGGACAGCTGCAGCCGCTAAAAGCCGGAGGGACTGCTGGTAAAAAAATCGATTGTGTAAATTACATTTGTGCGTTCATAAATTTATGGCCCCCTAATATGTTGTCATGCAGCGTGTGTGATAACCTCCATCATTGACCTCATTATTTCAGATACAACAGCAGTGAGGAAAAGAGAACGTGGGAGCAAATAAAAATAAATCTAAAAACATCCGTCAAAGTGGTTAGTAGGTTTACTGGAAGATTTTATTTGTACATATTTCAACGCGTTAACAGTGATTTCCTCACACTGCCTTTTTTCTTTTTTCTCCATCATCCGATGGTCACATGTCATCTGCAGACACATTTGGGGTTAAGAGGAGTTTTCTAATCTGCTTCAATAAATTCTGAATGATGACTGATATGCCGCATGAAACTTGAACTTGGAGCTTGGCAAATATTAGTGTATTGCTTCGACTTCATGCTACCTGAATATTGAGGCCGTCCGAGGAAAACCTGTAATGTTCATAGAGAATGTCATCAGGTTAATCAAACGGATTTGAACGATCATGAATATAACGCTCTCGGCGAAGCGCTCCTCTCACCATCCGTGCAGCGATGTCAACAATCTTGGCCCAATCTTTGACCAGCCCTGGCATGAACAACATGCTGCGGGGTCAGAGTTGACACGCTGCCTATAGCGAGCGCTTTTAACTTTGCTCGGCAGTGGCATCTGGTAAAATAAATTAAAATGACTTAAATTGATACATGAAAGTTAATAAATTGCTAACAACGGCATAAATACCTTAAGTGAAATGGCATGCTTTTAATATTTTTTTTCTTATTTTGTACAGAGATGACCTAACCATTATTTCAGAAATGTTAGCAAAATGACTCATCAAATAACAAAAAAGACTCTCTACGTTCCTGTTTCTGACCTTGTCCTGGTCCCGGTGTGCTTTTAGGGTCTGGACGTGGACTCTCTGGTCATCGAGCACATCCAGGTCAACAAGGCCCCTAAGATGAGGAGGCGCACGTACCGCGCTCATGGCCGCATCAACCCGTACATGAGCTCTCCGTGCCACATTGAGATGATCCTGACTGAGAAGGAGCAGATCGTCCCCAAACCCGAGGAGGAGGTGGCCCAGAAGAAGAAGGTACGACTCTGATTTATGTCCCTGAACGCATCGCCGAGCTGCGCTGATGACCACTTAGGACACCTTTGGATGAACCATGAAAACAAAACATTATTTCTGAGCAGCTTAAATCTGTGTTTGACCTCTGACCTTTGACCTGTAATGGCGTCCTGACTCTGAGTTTGTCTCTGCAGGTTTCACAGAAGAAGCTGAAGAAGCAGAAGCTCATGGCACGGGAGTAAAAAACCAATAAAACCCAAAACTTATTACAGCACCGTCTACCTGCGCTTTCTTTGGACTCTGACATGGAGGCTTTTATTTTGGCGGGGTCACTGAAACAGAACTTAACTCCGGGTTATCTGGTTCTCCTGTAGTGGTGGGGGGTTAAATAAACCATTTCTGAAAGTCCTAAATGACAAATCTCAGAAATTAAGAGTGTGAATGTGAAAATATTTAGAAAATCATCACTCATTCATATGTTTGTCTCTGATTCTAGTGAGGTTTTTTTTTTCATCTCCACTTTGAGTTTATTAAACTTTTGTTTCAGAAAACTGGATCGTACCTTGTGGAGACGGGTCGAGGTCTCCTGGTATATCTGAACAGGTTACACCAAGACAAAATCTTATCTAAAGCCCCTTTCAAATTCTGGTTTTATTTTGTTGACATACTAGAGTCAGAAGGGTGGAGGAGGGGACTTTGGATATCTCTTTTTATCACTCTGTAAATGAGAAAATACTCTCACCACCCCGAAAAATTCAAATATCTCCATGTGACACTGACCATGGGGCACTAGTTGTACTTATCACTTATCTATCATACAAATATGCTAATTAGAATATAACATGGTCAAAACATGAATCAGGCCACAGTATTCCTGGTGTAGAGTGAATACAAAGGAGTAATGGTCATCTTAAGGACCTGAAAATTAATAGCGGGGCGGATAATAGCATATTACAGGAAAATCTATCACTTGCGGACAAAAGCACCAAAATTGGCACACGTACTCCTTAGGAGTTGCTCTTTGGATATTTCCTTCTGGCCAAATGAAAATTTAAGATGGCGGCCATTTTTCAGGATGGCCACCATTGAAAATACAGTAATATTGCATTTTGCAATAAAATCCCATAGACTTGTCCTATTTGGATGATCTTGGTGTCAAATCATACATTTTCCACTATGCAGAATCCAAATTTGGACCCATGGACTTACTTACTGGCTTCCTTGTACCATATTTCAGTCCCATAATCCTAATATTCTGGTATTAATGAGGTTTACATTATGTCTGACTTGGGTAAAATGGTTGGTAACATACACTCACCGGCCACTTTATTAGGTACACCATGCTAGTAACGGGTTGGACCCCCTTTTGCCTTCAGAACTGCCTCAATTCTTCGTGGCATAGATTCAACAAGGTGCTGGAAGCATTCCTCAGAGAGCTTGGTCCATATTGACATGATGGCATCACACAGTTGCCGCAGATTTGTCGGCTGCACATCCATGATGCGAATCTCCCGTTCCACCACATCCCAAAGATGCTCTATTGGATTGAGATCTGGTGACTGTGGAGGCCATTTGAGTACAGTGAACTCATTGTCATGTTCAAGAAATCAGTCTGAGATGATTCCAGCTTTATGACATGGCGCATTATCCTGCTGAAAGTAGCCATCAGAAGTTGGGTACATTGTGGTCATAAAGGGATGGACATGGTCAGCAACAATACTCAGGTAGGCTGTGGCGTTGCAACGATGCTCAATTGGTACCAAGGGGCCCAAAGAGTGCCAAGAAAATATTCCCCACACCATGACACCACCACCACCAGCCTGAACCGTTGATACAAGGCAGGATGGATCCATGCTTTCATGTTGTTGACGCCAAATTCTGACCCTACCATCTGAATGTCGCAGCAGAAATCGAGATTCATCAGACCAGGCAACGTTTTTCCAATCTTCTATTGTCCAATTTCGATGAGCTTGTGCAAATTGTAGCCTCAGTTTCCTCTTCTCAGCTGAAAGGAGTGGCACCCGGCGTGGTCTTCTGCTGCTGTAGCCCATCTGCCTCAAAGTTCGACGTACTGTGCGTTCAGAGATGCTCTTCTGCCTACCTTGGTTGTAACGGGTGGTTATTTGAGTCACTGTTGCCTTTCTATCAGCTCGAACCAGTCTGGCCATTCTCCTCTGACCTCTGGCATCAACAAGGCATTTCTGCCCACAGAACTGCCGCTCACTGGATATTTTTTCTTTTTCGGACCATTCTCTGTAAACCCTAGAGATGGTTGTGCGTGAAAATCCCAGTAGATCAGCAGTTTCTGAAATACTCAGACCAGCCCTTCTGGCACCAACAACCATGCCACGTTCAAAGTCACTCAAATCACCTTTCTTCCCCATACTGATGCTCGGTTTGAACTGCAGGAGATTGTCTTGACCATGTCTACATGCCTAAATGCACTAAGTTGCCGCCATGTGATTGGCTGATTAGAAATTAAGTGTTAACGAGCAGTTGGACAGGTGTACCTAATAAAGTGGCCGGTGAGTGTATATCTTAGTGTTGTTAGAGGTTTAGTGTGTGTGTGTGTGTATGTGTGTGTGTGAGTGAGAGTGAGAGAGAGAGACTGAAAACAATGTGTCTGAGTGTAAAAAAAATCCAAAAAAGAAAAATGCTTGACCTGCCTGCATTACATCTCACTTAATTATTAGGCAACACTTCTCACTCGCACATACACTTTCTTACAACATTACTATTAATCTGGCTGGGGTGGCACCATGCAGTCATGAAGAAGCTGACACCCAGATCTTTGTGATCCACAGAAGCAGGCAGCAAGGTCATCATGGTCAAAGCCAACGACACAGATGTTGTTGTCATCGCAGTGAGTGTTCTGCAGGCACTTCAGAACCTCGGTCTGCAGCAGTTGTGGGTTGCCTTTGGCCAAAGACAGAACCTGAAGTGGATTCCTGTTCATGACCTGTGTGGCACTCTTGCAGAAAAGAGCAAAGGGATGCTCTTCTTCCATGCATGCGATGTTGTTTCAGCATTCCGTGGCAAAGGGAAGAAGTCTGCTTGGCAAACCTGGAATGTTTGTGATGAGGCTTCCAGTGTCTTCAGCAAACTCAGCCATTACCCACCTGTATTGGATGATGAAGACCTGAAAACCCTGGAGAAGTTTGTGGTCATGTTGTACGACAGATCCAGCACAGCTGAAGGTGTCGACAATGCAAGGTTGGACATGTTTGCTCGGAAGCAGAGGCCGTACGAAGCCACTCCTCCAACTCAATCAGCAGTTAAGCAATATGTCATGCGTGCATCCTACCAAGCGGGCTGCATCTGGAGTCAGTCAATAGTATGTCAACCAGAAACACATAGTCCTGCCAACTGGGGCTGGACCAAGAAAGGTGATCTGTGGCAGATTGTTTGGACAGAGCTCCCACCCATTGCAGAGAGTTGCCAGCAGCTGGCCAAGTGTGGATGCAAGTTGGAATGCTGCGGTCGATGCAAATGCTACTGCTTTGGTCTGACCTGCACAGCACTGTGCAGCTGCTAGTGTGAGGTTTAGAAACACTGTAGTAAAAGCCTACTCATCCAAACAGCCTACATGTAAAAAAAAGAAAAAAAAAAACAAAACCTGCCTCGGTGGGATCACCACCTTATCATGGTGGGGCAGTTTGTGTGTCTCCATGACCCCCCCCCCCCCCCCCAAATAGGACAAGTCTATGGGATGCAATATTACTCTATTTTCAATGGTGGCCATCTTGAAAAATGGCTGCCATCTTAAATTTTTTATTTGGCCAGATGGAAATATCAAAAGAGCAACTTCTAAGGAGTATGTGTGCCAATTTTGGTGCTTTTATCCTCAAGTGAACGATTATTACAGTTATCTGCCCAGCTATAAAGCATATTTGAATTTTTAGGGGTGGTGAGAGTATTTTCTTATTTACATAGAGGTATTGATTTGATTTATGATTTGACAAAACTTGTAATATAAAAAATATTTGTCTTAATGTAAGTTGTAAACTTGGAAAGTTTCATGGTGATATCTGTTAAGAATCTTACCCTATTCACCTGGGGTGCCTACCCGAGCTTCCTACCCATCATGGATGCCATCTTGAAAATGACGCCTTTCTAGCGGTCAAACTTTGGTAAACTTTTAGTTTATTATTAAGGACATCTAATACTATAAAAAACACCTGAGAAAACTTTGTTAGAACTTCTTTGGGGTCTAGTCATATTTGTACCTGACTTGAAATACAACTCAAAAATCACACTACAGGCTAAAAGTTTGGAGGCAAGATCAGATTTGTACAAAAAAGATCATAGTTTCATACTGTATATATAATTTGCAACACAATAAACATGACTATTGTGTAAAGAGTAACTGATAAGAAGACATTTTGACTATAATTATTAGGTATTTGAGTTATTGTTGCTTAGACTTTGCTTTCTTTAAAGTAACCACCTCTGGCTTTGGCAACAGCTTGGCATATACCAGGCATTCGTTCCACAAGTTTTTTAAGGTATGTTCAAGGGATTGCATTCCAAGCTTTCTTAAGTTCATTAAAAAGAGACTGCTGATTCGTGGGACGTGTTTTTCTGACCGATCGATCCAATCCATTCCGCACAAGCTCAATTGGAGAAAGGTCTGGAGACTGAGGGGGCCAAACCATCTTTTGAAGAACACCTTCCTCTTCTTTTTTGTCTAGGTAACCCTGACAGAGCTTGGCAGTGCTTAGGATCATTGTCTTGCTGCAAAATAAACTTATGAGCCTCCATCACCTGCAAAACATCCCCATACCATGGAACTACCACCTCCATGCTGAATTGTGGGTGTAACACATGGTGCTTTCAGACGTTCACCAGTTTGTCTGCGGACATAGACTCTGCGTTTTGAACCCATGTAAACTTGTTTCAAGTCTTCATAAGTCCAATTTTTGTGATCTTTTGCCCACTCATATCTCTTTTTCTTATTCTGTGGACGAAGTAGTGTTTTTTTTTTGCAGATACACAACCCTTCAGACCAGCCTTTCTCAAACGTCATTTCATGGTTGTCAGAGATATGGGTTTCAACCTTGTCATGTTGATTTCCTCCCTTATTTTTGGTGCTGTCTTTCAACGATCTCTCTTACTGTGACAATGCTATGTTTATCCTCTGCTTTACTCTCTTTCATCCAGGTCTTTTTCTATCATCATAACTTCCAGGTTTCTCTAGTCTGAGAGGATGTTTCTCCTGCACAGACTGGAATGTCTTTCACTGTTTGGAGCTAAACGAGGCTACTGAGACTATTACAGAATACATCAAATTCTGTGTAGACAATGTTGTCCCAAAAAAAGAGGTCAAACATTTCCCCAACAACAAGCCGCACATTACCAAAGAGGTCAAGTCCTGCATCAATAAGAAGAAGCTGGCCTTCAAAAATGAGGACCGTGTCGGTGTGGTTTCTGCCCAGAAAGAAATCAACTCAATGCTTAAGCAGGCCAGAGAAAAACACAGGGTTAAACTAGAACAGAGCTTTAGCTTTATGGACAGCAAATTTCTGTGGGACTCCATGAAAAGAATAACAAACATGAACTCCAATCAGAAACAGCTCATCACGTCAAACGACGTAGACAGAGCAAATGAGTTAAATGACTTCTTTCTAAGGTTTGACTCACAGAACACTACCTTGAGGACTGATGAGATCTTGGACACTCTCAATGATTCTACAGATCGTGTGGTGGTGGTTGAACCTAAACTTGTACAGTCCATTTTTTTAGAAATGTGAACACTAAGAAATCCAAGGGCCCTGATGGACTGCCCTTGATCTTACTAAAACCCTTTTCTGAAGAGTTAACAGATGCATGGTGCCCCATTTTTAATCTGTCACTTGGAAGTCAAACTGTCCCCATGCTGTGGAAGACGTCAATTGTTGTTCCTATACCTACGGTATCATGCCCTACAGAAAACAAAGATTTCAGACCGATAGCCTTAACTTGTGGAGTCATGAAGTGTTTTGAGGGGGCAATCTTAAGCTTGATAAAACCTGTGATTTCTCCTTGTCTTGATCCCCTCCAGTTCGAGTATCTCCTGGTGCTCACTTAGTTAGTAAGCACCTGGAAGACCCCAAAGCTTATGGACGGGTTTTATTCGCAGATTTCAGCTCTGCTTTCGATACTGTCTGCCCCAATCTTCTTGTACAGAAGCTTACTGACATGAATGTAAACCTTTCAATGACAAAATGGTTCTATTCGCTCTGAACTAACAGGTCACAGCAAGTCAATGTAAATGGCACACTTTCTGAGGTGAAATACTGCAGTACTGGGGTACCCCAGGGAGCCGTAAGCTCACCTTTCTCATTTACTCCGTACACAAATGAGTGCCGAAGCAGTAACCACAAAAATCATGTAATCAAATTTTCAGATGATATAATCATCCTAAGCCTGTTACACATGGATAACTGCCCATCAGTCTATCACAATGAGATTGATTCTTTTAAAGACTGGTGTAAGATGCATCACCTCATCCTCAATACCACTAAAACTAAAGAGATGATCTTTGATCCCAGGGAGGTGAGAGAGCATGACTGTGTGACTATTAACAACTGTGAAATTGAGCAGGTGAGATCTTTTAAGTACTTGGGCAGACTGATCGATAACCTACTTAAATGGCATGTGCACATTGATGTTTTATGCACCAAACTAGCCCAGAGACTGCACTTTCTTCGCCGATTAAGGCTGTTTGGTGTGAGTACCAGGGTCATGATCATTTTCTATAACGCTGTTTTGGGAAGTTTGATCAGATATGGAATGGAAGCCTGGTTTGGTTCTCTCACAGTCCAGTGCAAGTCGAGGTTAGAAAAGCAGGTAGAAACAGCTGTGAAAATAATCAAGGAGTACCCGACCCTCCAGTCAATTTTCGAAGGTACAGCAGTAAATCTGGCACATAGCATTTTAAATGATCCTTCACATATTCTGTATACAGAATATGAATTATTGGCCTCAGGGAGAAGATACAGAGCAAGCAGATACAAAAGCAATCACTACAAGCTCTTTTTCCTCCCAACATCCATCCACCTCTTGAACAAACTACCTGCGATATCTCAAAAGGTTCTTAATTCGCTGAGATATTATTCTGTATCTCTTTAGTATTCTTAAAATTATTTTATTCTTTTATTGTTTTTAATTACTTATCTTGGTTCTTAGAACCTTAAATGTCACTCTGCACTTTATAAATATTCCTTATCAGTTCTCATTTATCTGCCACTTTTGGTAGGCCTTTCTAAGTACCATTGAAACTTGTTTCTTCTCTGCAAAGAGCAACTAGGGTAGTGCAATATCTGTGGTCTGGTTTTGAAAATGTACCCACTCGTGAAATGGGAAGATGATGTGATATGTCTGTTAATGCAGAACTGTCGACTGTCTGTATGTCTGTATGTGTTTCTTGTTCGCGCATTATGCAATGCAGTTGTTTTTTAGCAGTACTGACTGTCCATGACAAATTTCCCTGCGGGGACAATAAAGTTATATTGAATTGAATTGAATTGAATAGTCTCCTTAGAGTGTAGTGGACTCCTGTGTTAAACACCTTTAGGTATTTTGCAATTTTTCTTTCTGTGTATCCTTCTTTCCTCAATGTACAAATCTGTACTTTTGTTTCTTTACTCAGTTGCTTCTTTCTAGCCATTTTTGCGGTAGTTTGAATGCAGTTGAGATTTATTAGGATTTTTATTTGCAGACTCTCAAAAGCCAAAGAGTTGAAGTGAATAATCAAACTGTGATTTGTTTTTTTGCTTTTGCACTGAAGTTGTCACTCTTGCAAATGTTTTCAATTCTAAAACCAAGCCCTTATCTTTTGCTGACATATATTTAGCAATGGTCTGTTAACATCAATGTGTATCTAAAGGTAAATGGAGTAAAATGGTGCATTTCCATGAAAGCAACATCTAATCATCGAGTAAATACATCCCAAAATACATAAAACTCGTGCTGGATTTTAAAAAAAGCATTGTGAACAAAAACTTGAAGTTACTCCCAACTGTTCGGCCTGTAATGGCCTTGCTTCCAAACTTTTGGCCTGTAGTGTATGTGTATATACACTCACCGGCCACTTTATATACACATACACACACAGTGCCTTGCGAAAGTATTCGGCCCCCTTGAACCTTTCAAACTTTCGCCACATTTCAGGCTTCAAACATAAAGATATAAAATTTTTATTTTTTGTCAAAAATTAACAAGTGGGACACAATCGTGAAGTAGAATGAAATTTATTGGATAATTTAAACTTTTTTAAACTTAAACTTAACAAATAAAAAACTGAAAAGTGGGGCGTGTAATATTATTCGGCCCCCTTGCGTTAATACTTTGTAGCGCCACCTTTTGCTGCAATTACAGCTGCAAGTCGCTTGGGTATGTCTCTATCAGTTTTGCACACCGAGAGACTGAAATTCTTGCCCATTCTTCCTTGCAAAACAGCTCGAGCTCAGTGAGGTTGGATGGAGAGCGTTTGTGAACAGCAGTCTTCAGCTCTTTCCACAGATTCTCGATTGGATTCAGCTCTGGACTCTGACTTGGCCATTCTAACACCTAGATGCGTTTATTTGTGAACCAGTCCATTGTAGATTTGGCTTTATGTTTTGGATCATTGTCCTGTTGGAAGATAAATCTCCATCCCAGTCTCAGGTCTTTTGCAGACTCCAACAGGTTTTCTTCCACAATGGTCCTGTATTTGGCTCCATCCATCTTCTGATCAATTTTAACCATCTTCCCTGTCCCTGCTGAAGAAAAGCAGGCCCAAACCATGATGCTGCCACCACCATGTTTGACATTGGGGATGGTGTGTTCAGGGTGATGCGCTCTGTTGCTTTTACTCCAAACATATCGTTTTGCATTGTGGCCAAAAAGTTTTGGTTTTGGTTTCATCTGACCAGAGCACCTTCTTCCACGTTTGGTGTGTCTCTCAGGTGGCTTGTGGCAAACTTTAAACGAGACTTTTTATGGATATCTTTGAGAAATGGCTTTCTTCTTGCCACTCTTCCATAAAGGCCAGATTTGTGCAGTGTACGACTGATTGTTGTCCTATGGACAGACTCTCCCACCTCAGCTGTAGATCTCTGCAGTTCATCCAGAGCAGTGGCGATTGCTCTAAGACTGCAAGGGAAGCTCAGCTTCCCTTAAAATGTCACCCCCCCAAAAAAAAGAAAAAGTGGTGAAATATGTACTGCTGTGTGTACATTTCATTAACTAAATACGCGCTAGAAAGCCTTCATCTTTTGTTCAGAATCAGCTTCTTATCACACTGTGATAAGAAGCTGATTCTGCACAACTTCGTTCTCCTTCATCCTCGCAGCGCCTCAGCGCTTTAAACAGCCGGACGCTCAGCGTCTGCTGACTTCAATGTGGAAGCTCAAAGTGGGTTGTTCCAGCAGCCAAATTAGACGCTCATTGGATAAATGCTGGGCTTTGTCCCGCCCATCGGACGCTCAGCTTCTCTGGAGTTCTATGGCGAGAGGGCGGTCTCGACTTTCTCCCGGACTCCGAGCTTCTGCATCCATGATTGGATGAGCTGTCTGAGGCGAAATCCTTTTTTGATTGACAGCTAAACAAGCGAATCAGCGATATTGAAGAATAAAACATCTACCAGAGCATTTTCCAAGTTATTCATTCCGTTGTTCTAAACTGCTCCGGAGACTTTACCGATCCTCAGCGACTTTTGTCTTTGTTAAAAATGACTGCTGTTGTGTTTGGCGACTCTGTTCTGTTACATACAAATAAACAAACACAATTATGATGTAGGCCAGAAAAATGAGCTTCCCCTCCTTGAAAGACCAGCAGCCGCCACTGATCCAGAGTGATCATGGGCCTCTTGGCTGCATCTCTGATCAGTCTTCTCCTTGTTCGAGATGAAAGTTTGAAGGGGCGGCGGGTCTTGGTAGATTTGCAGTGGTCTGATACTCCTTCCATTTCAATATGATTGCTTGCACAGTGCTCCTTGAGCTGTTTAAAGCTTGGGAAATCTTTTTGTATCCAAATCCGGTTTTAAACTTCTCCACAACAGTATCTCGGACCTGCCTGGTGTGTTCCTCGGTCTTCATGATGCTCTCTGCACTTTAAACAGAACCCTGAGACTATCACAGAGCAGGTGCATTTATACGGAGACTTTATTACACACAGGTGGATTCCATTTATCATCATCAGTCATTTAGGACAACATTGGATCATTCAGAGATCCTCACTGAACTTCCGGAGTGAGTTTGCTGCACTGAAAGTAAAGGGGCCGAATAACATTGCACGCCCCACTTTTCAGTTTTTTATTTGTTCAAAAAATTTAAATAATCCAATAAATTTCGTTCTACTTCACGATTGTGTCCCACTTGTTGTTGATTCTTGACAAACAATTAAAATTTTAGATCTTTATGTTTGAAGCCTGAAATGTGGTGAAAGGTTGAAAGGTTCAAGGGGGCCGAATACTTTCGCAAGGTACTGTATATATGTACATCTATTTTATATCTATTTAATCTGTAGATACGTGTCATAAAAAACAGAAAGTAGCTTCACAAAGTGATAAAAAAACAGTTCTATACTGTTAATATAATTGTATACATGAAATACTATCTATACTAGAATAACAGGAACACACCTGCAGCCTGAGAGATCTACGAGAGAAAACAACTTATACAGTAGAACCAGATCCAGCCTTCTAGAACCCATTACTGTAGAACCCAACGTTATAGAACCCGTCACTGTAGAATCCAACATTCTTGAGCCCGGCACTGTAGAACCCATCATTCTAGAACCAGACACTGAAGAACCCAACATTCTAGAACCTGGCACTAAAGAACCCAACATTCTAGATCCTTTCACTGTAGAATCCAACATTCTAGAACCTAGCACTGAAGAACCTAACATTCTAGAACCCATCACGTTAGAACCTAACATTTAAGAACTTGCCACTGTAGTACCCAACATTCCAGAACCCGTCACTGTAGAACCCAACATTCCAGAACCCGGCACTGTAGAACCCAACATTCCAGAACCCGGCACTGTAGAACCCAACATTCCAGAACCCGGCACTAAAGAACACAACATTCTAGGACCCATCGCTGTAGAATCAGAATCAGAAATACTTTAATAATCCCCAGGGGTGAATTACTTTTTGTTACAGTAACTCCAGTGCAAACAAAGTAGACAGAGGAGATAAATAATAAAAAAAATAAGTAAAAATAACGAGATAATCAAAATATGCAGTATCTATACAGTTTTTTAATATACACAAGTATTAACACTATATACAACACAAAATAGAACCCAACATTCTCGAACCCATTCTCGAACGTCATAGAATTATGGGTTCTAGACTGCTGGGTTCTTTAGAGCTCACTGAGTCTCTCTAAACTGGATCTTGTTCTGGGTTGCAGTTCTGAATTTAGGAACACCAGCAAGTCTGGACTCCTCATTCTCTGTTAGAAGGTTCTGAAAGTCCAACAGAGTTGGGGTTCGTCTGTTTCTCCATCAGATCAGGATGAACCGGATTTTAAAAAAGAATCTTAAATTCATCATTTCTGTCATCTTCTGAAAAACAAGAGAGACCAAAAATCGAACCTTCAGGTTTAGTTCTGATGATCAGAACCGCCTCACATCCTGAACCTTCTGCTGCTGTTCTCTGAGTGACCAACAGGGGGAGCCAGTGCATCACTGAATTATAGCAGACCTCCTGATCCACAGAGACTGACCCCAGGCCTGTGTGAGTGTCTCACACAGTGATCTGATCAGGCTGATGTTGGATCATTTCCCTCAGTCATCATTGATCATCAGTAATCATTGATCTGATGATAGTTATTGATCACAACTCTGAGTTTGTGTCTGCAGGTCAGTGAGACACTCTCAGGACAGATTTCTCTTTAGCCTAACCGGGACACCTGACTGTCTCCTGACCCATCTTCAGGGACCAGCGGTCAGGTACCAGGTCCAACTCCACAGTCCTCCTAAAATATGTCAGTTAGTTAGTCTGTTTCAAGGTCAGAGTTCAGTCATTTGTTTAATTTCTGACATCACAGAGCAGCGACCAATGAAATGGTTTTTGCTGATGATGATAAATCCAATTATTTTAAAGCCTCATGATGACCTGAAGAAGAGCCGACCTCATGATTTTATTATTTAAAAGAAAAACCAGAGTAAACACAGACTGAGTTTGATGTTTTTACTACAGAGCCCAAACATATGAGTGTTTACATGCAGCAGATGTTTCATTAAAAAAGGACTTTGACATGTAGAGGATTATTAAAGTGATCAGATCTAAAACAACTCCATGTTTACACAGCAGGAAGAAAAACTTCAAAAATATCAGTTTTACTGTAAAGTCAAAGAAATCTTCAGCTTCTTCCTTTAAATGAACTTCCTTTAAATTCCTTCCTTTGATGAGCCTCCAAAACGACCTGAGACCAAGAGAAAATGATTTTTTACTTTAAAGATTTGTGGTAAAAAAAAAAAAAAATTCTGTTTACACCTCAGACATAGAAGCGCCCCAGTGCTGGTATAATTTCCTGTCAATCATTGGAAGCTATTTTAAACAGGAGTCATAAAACAACAATAACAGAAATAATGAAAATGTTTTAACTCAGGATTCAAAATTATCCAGATGTTTTTGTCAAATTACATCATATCAGTGTACATATATATATATATATATATATATATATATATATATATATATATATATATATACATATAAATGTATACATATAGTCATGATATATGTGTTAAAGTATTAATTCATCATGACATATAACCACATCATCATAAACCTTTTTCTGAGTTCTTGTATCTGATGGATTATTTAAGTCTCATTTTAATATTGAATCGAAATTAAACTGAAGGAGCTCCTTCTGATGCAGTCAGTCTAAAACAATCTAAATTCAACACAAAAACAAAAATATAGAAAAATACACTCAGTGCGACACTTGGAACTTACTGCACTGTCACCTAGTACACAGCACCAGAGTGTAAACCTATAAAACTGTAAGTGAAACTGTCAGATTTAAAGCTGCTGACCAGATTTCAGTCTGAAACACTGAAGTTTGATTCAAACCTCAATGGGGCCCTAAGCAAAATGTGATTTTGGGGCCCTCTACTTCTGCCAATAATATTGGTTGTTGATCATTCACACACCTTCACAAATCTCTTTAAAATTCCCTGACATACAAACAAACCTTTATCTTGGCTTTTTTTCTCTTCTTCCTCTTTCTTTTCTCTGCTCCTGAAGGATTCGTCCTTTTTTGCGACATTGTTTTGTCAAGCAACTACCTGCTCTTTGGATGTTCAGTGCACATTTCACAGCAGGAGGAACAGAACGGTAGCGGAGCTTTGACATATCAGCAGTAAGAATCATAGGCCTACATCAGCATCAGCACTAAAATGTTTTTATTTTGTTTTTACAATAAAATAGATTTGATCATACAGAAAGCATTACTCATATAAGCAAATAATAAAAAATATTACTTTTTTTTTTGTTTTGATTGCTCCTGGGGGCCCCCTACTGGCCTCGGGACCCAAGTTCGCTTATGCCTTGGGCCAGCTCTGGTTCGCCTTGACGTTTAAACTCACGTTATCACTGCGTCACATCTTTGTCGTCACATTTAAGTTTTCTCATATTTTGAACCTTTTTTTTTTTTTTTACAGAAATGTTTGATCTCCTTTAATTTAATTAAATTTTTTTTTACTGTAAATTATTTCCCTGAACAAAAACCATATTTCCTAACCCTGTTTTATTGCAGGAAATTCAGAACCAAATAAAACCAAACAGTCCAGAGCCAAATATTCTAGATCCCAGTAATCTGGAACCCAGCATTCCAGAATCCAGTTTTTAAGAACCCAGCACTTGAGAACAGAGCAATGCAGAACCTAGAAAATCAGAACCGAGCTTTCCTCTTCCTGTGGTAATTTTTAAAGTCCTGGTTCTTCATTTTAAAGGATGAATTCGGGGCTCATATTTTTGATCCTTCCAGTTTGAATGTAATAGAAATTCAGTGTCAGCACATTATGACCTTATAAGAAAATACATCAGTCATGATGTCATGGTTTTAGTAGTCTACGGTAACAGATATAACACATCTTAACCTGACGGTCTGACTCTGAACTAGTGATGGTTCTGAACATAAAAAAGGATCTCATCTGTATGAAACATGAAAAAGGATCATCCCACCACCTCCTTCAGTATAAATGAATTAATGAATAAACAAACAAATAAAAAAAATAAAAAAAGGGTTTGGTATCATTACAGATATCCTCTTCAGGTCATTAATTCAGAAATGTGAAAAGAAACTTTTCCTGTTTAACGCTCCACTTCAAAAGATTAAAACGGTTTATAATACTACTATTAATATTAATATTATTATTATGATTATTATTATTAATAATCATCATAATAATAATAATAATAATAATAATTATTATAGAGTAAAATGAGCTCATTGATATTTGGTGTCTCTCTGTCCTTGTGTTGTTGAAACACATAGTTTAATGATCCAGGTGTGGTCTATCTCAGTGTGATCCAAAATTAAACTTGATTCTTGTTTCAATAACATTGTATATATATATCTATATCTATATCTATATATATATATATATATATATATATATATATATTTTTTTTTTTTTTAAGCAAACCTGTCTCTCTCTCTCTCTCGGGGCCTCCGTAGACCTGACATACTCTCTCCTCCTGTTTTTTTCTCTGATCAGTTTGTTTTGATTCTTTATCATTTCCGGTTTTTACTCATAAATGAAAACAAAAATATTTTCACATTAACACCCCCCCCCCCCCCCCAGTTCATCCTGAGCCCCCCAGCCAATCAGGAGACTCTCCTAAATCTATATACCCCTACGTCACCATCAGGTCAGCCAATAGGAGCAGAGCCCCCCCCCCCGCTCTCTGAAAGTTTGGACTTGAGCTAATAGACCTCAGAGAGATGATCAGCTTTTATTATCTCACACTCTGGACCCGGATCAGGACAGACCTGGACCCGGACTGACTGCTGCTTTGACTCGGGGATCCTTCAGGAGGTCATCATCACACAGACGAACTTTGAGGATTTGTGGGTCCTGGTCCTGAGATGGGCTTTGAGTCCGGAGAGGAGCGGGTTCTGCTTCAGCTGTAGTCCGGACTCTGCTGTCAGGAGCGGGGCCCCCTCAGACCCGCACAGACCCGGTCCCGCTGCCCCGGATCCCGCAGAGAGGAGGTGATGTTAGCGGTGGGTCAGATGGATCCCGGGTCCCGACAGAGCGCCTTCCTCCTCAGCAACCCCCCGTTAGCGGCTCTGCACAGCATGACGGAGATGAAGACCCCGCTCTACCCCTCCTACCCCCTCTCCTCCAGCGGCGGCCCCAACTCTTCCACCTCCCCGGCCACCACCTCCCCCAACCCGGGCGGCATGGCGGTGTCCTCCCCGGGCATCAAGAGCTCGTCCGGCCTGTCCTCGGGGCTCGGCTCCCCGCAGCAGTGCTCCTCTGCCACCCCGCACGGGATTAACGACATCCTCAACCGGCCCACCGCAGCCTCCGCGGCCGCCTCGGTGGCTGTGGCCGCCGCCGCCGCCTCCTCCTCCGCGGGGATCCTCTCCGGTCTGCCCCGGTTCAGCAGCCTCAGCCCCCCGCCGCCCCCGGGACTCTACTTCAGCCCCGGGGCCGCCGCGGTGGCCGTGGCCCGGTACCCGAAGCCTCTTGCGGACCTGCCGGGCAGGACACCGATCTTCTGGCCGGGGGTGATGCAGAGTCCACATTGGAGGGACGCCCGGTTTGCGTGTTCACCGCGTGAGTGTTTGCGGGTCAGAGGAGAGTGGAGCTGATGTAGAAGCAGACCGACTCGAACCTGCAGCATCAGGCCGCAGCAGTTTCAGTGTCTGAAAATCCTTTAAATAAATAAATCTCTTTTATTTTTAACTCTGATGTTCTTCCCGGTTTCAGACCAGAACTCGGTGCTGCTGGATAAGGACGGGAAACGGAAACACACGCGGCCCACCTTCTCCGGTCAGCAGATCTTCGCGCTTGAAAAAACCTTCGAACAGACCAAGTACCTGGCGGGACCAGAGCGCGCGCGCCTGGCCTACAGTCTGGGGATGACAGAGAGTCAGGTGAAGGTAATCCTGACAGAGATGAAATTATAATCTATTCACATTTAATCCACGTGAAATAAAAACGGAGAGAAAAAAAGAGTTTAAAATCCAAAAAGTGATTTTTCATTTACTTTAATATTTATTATATACATTTATTTTTGTCAGTAAATTTATGGAGAAACCTAAATTTCAATGAAATCTCTCAGACCTGATTTAATGAACTCTCCGGTTTAATGGTTTTAATTTATGCGTAAATGTTTTCCAGGTTACCAAATGTTTCTCCGGCTTCATTTTGATTCTTTTGTTCTGTTCACATTTCTCATTCTCTGATTTTATATAAATAAAAAATAAAAGTGTTTGAGGTTCTTCAGGCTGCATAGATTTCAGAGCAGGTTCCTTTTTTATTATTTTTAGATTTACGCAGATTTCTTGTTTTTTACGCACAAACTCGAGGGTCCAAACTGGAACGTACAGCTCACCATTCACTCTTAGAAAAACAGAAAATCCTTTCTTAATTTATTTTCATGTTTTCTGTCGTGTTTAATTCAGTTAAATATCAGTTTTCTCTCTACTGTCTCTTTTTCCACGTAATTTTGAACATTTCTCGTTTTTTTTGTTTTGTTTTTACGCACAAACTCTTGTCAACTTCCCAGAGTCCAAACTGGAACCTGCAGCTCATTATTCACTCTTACAAAAACAAAACATCTTTTTTGAATTTATTGTCATGATTTCTGTCTTGTGTAATTCCCTTTAATATCAGTTTTCTTTTGCTGCAGCTGTACTTTCTCTTTTGCGATTTTGAACATTTCTCGTTTTTTTTTGTTTTTACGCACAAACTCTTGGCATCTTCCCAGAGTCCAAACTGGAACCTGCAGCTCATTATTCACTCTAAAATCATTTTATTAATATATTGTCATATACTGTTATGTATGTAATTCGTTTATATTTCAGTTATTTTTCTTTGCTCTAGCTCTCATTTGATTTTGAACATTTCTCTTTTTTGTTTTTACGCACAAACTATCCCAGAACCTCCCAGAGTGAAAAAACCTCAAAACCGTTTCACACCTGACCCGGGTCTTTGTCTTTGTGCAGGTGTGGTTCCAGAACCGGAGGACGAAGTGGCGGAAGAAGCACGCGGCGGAGATGGCCACGGCTAAGAAGAAGCAGGACTCGGAGACGGAGAGACTGAAGGGGACCTCGGACCTGGAGGACGAGGACGACGACTACAACAAACCTCTGGACCCGAACTCTGACGACGAGAAGATCACACAGCTGCTGAAGAAACACAAACCGGCCCCGGGTCCAGGTCCGGGTCCGGGTCTGTTGCTGCACGGCTCGGAGAACGACAGCTCCTAAGGACACTTCCGAGGACACTTCCGAGGACACTTATAGGAGTTTTCTTTTCTGTTTCTGTGCCGGAGCTTCAGGCCGGACTCACGGGGAGGGAGCTCAGTGGACCCTCAGAGGCCCGGACAGAGCCGGACCAGGACGGACCGGATTGTGGACTTGTAAATAAATCCGTGAGTTGTGAGACAGAAACTCTCTGTGAATAATTTAAGTGGTTTTTTTTTTTTTTTTTGTTTTTTTTTTTTTTTGTACAGACTCTGCTCCCAGATCAGCTCCCTCTTTCTTTTCTATCTGACTCCATCCTCTCCTGCTTCCTCAGCGGGTCCGTGAAGGCCACACACACCTGATTAGAGGGGGTCCGTGAAGGCAGCACGCGCACCTGTCCAGACAGCTGTGTTTTAATCTCTCTGTTTCTCTGCAGCAGCTGTGTACCTGCAGGTGAATGTAATGCACTTTTTTAAAATAAAAATCAGATGGTGGACTTTATTTGACGGCACTAATGTTAATTCATCAATTAATGATGCGTCATTAATTTATGACGCAGCTCATTAATCAATTAAAGACGGACCATTTATCAGCCCCATTAATATTCACCAATTAACCTGCCGCTCAGATCCATAGCACTTGATCGGATAATTTTCAGTTTGATTTTAATTTTGTGTTTTTTTTTTTAATCTAAACTGTTTGATCTTTAAAGATAAATGTAAACTCTAAAATCTGCTTAACTTATTTAATTAAATGTCAGCTCTGAAGTTTAAATGTGAGGCTGTATTTTAATTTAATTTGATTACATTTTATTTTTCTCTCAGACTGAAGGACAAACGCTTTAAAATCAAACATGATCCGGATTATCCCGAACGAAGACATCCGATAAAGACCGAACAAAAACGAATCAAAGTCCGGATTTCCCTCTAGAATTATGATCATTTTTATTTTTATTTTTTGTGGTGGCTCTGGGTGGACTGTCGTCGGGCTGAGGGGGCTGCAGACAGCTGTGTGTCCGCCCTGTGAGCGCCTCTGCTCGGTGTCCTCCTCTCGGTGTGAGCGCTGATCACCGGCGGAGAAAGACGAAGAAAAACGACTCGTGACGAGGCTCGTTTAATAACCTGTGACCTCAAACTAGTTCATCTAAAGTTATTCTTATTTATTCTGTTATATACTTTTCTCTTTTTTTTAGTCTTTAATGAGAAACCTGCAGAAAAACAAACAAACATTTAAACAGAAGATTCACTTTAACAGGCTGAAACACCAAATATATCTCTGAAAAATCAACATGTAAATACCAGAACACTCATAAACATGTTAACCAGTATCATGTCACAGGGACTAATGGTTTTGGCTGATTTGCAGTCTGAATATTTGGCTGGAGGAAGATTAAACATGTGAGTCACGAACAGATTTCTTCAATTTTTAATCTGAGCGTCAGACTTCACATCCGCTCGTGTTTTTTTCTGAGGGTCTTCTTGGTCTTTGGGCCTCTAACTAGTTTATCTAAAGATATTCTTATTTATTCTGTCATATATTTTTTTCTTTTTTAAGTCTTTAATGAGAAACCTGCAGAAAAGAAAACAAACATTTAAACAGAAGATCACACAGCTGAATATGACTCTGACTCTAAGACTGAAAAATCAACATTTAAACACCAAAACACTCATTAACATGTTAACCAGTATCATGTAACTGGGTCTGATGGTTTTGGCTGATTTACAGTCCGTATGTTTGGTGACTAAAATTGGCTTCAGGAAGATTAAACATGTGAGTTCGAGTCACGAACAGATTTCACTTTCTTCAGTTTTTAATCCGAGCGTCAGACTTCAGGTTGGCGCATGTATTTTTTTCTGAGGGTCCTCCTGGTCTTTGGGCCTCTTACTAGTTTACAGTATCCTGTAGCTCCTCCTGCAGGATCCAGACTCCTTAAAATCCCAAATATCCGATTTATAAATCAAAGGTATATAAAAAACTGAAAGATGGATTAATAAAATGAAATTGTGTTTTTATTTGTTTTTTAATTGAAGCTGTTCCTGAAACCCTTCACCTTGACACAAACCGACACCTGAGAGGATTTTTATTTAGATCAGACTTTATTAAATTTAAATCACAATAAAAGAGATTAAATTCTTCATGATAAGAAATATTTGACTCTTCAGATCCTGAAAATCTGCTTCATTCTGTGTTTTTATTTATGTCAAAGAGTCACATTAAAATCCATCAAACTGCATCTACAGAAATATTTAAAGACTTCTTTTAGATTTTGGATTAATGTAAAATCACGGATGAAATAAAAAAAACGGTTTAATTTCTCAGAATTGACAGAAGACGTCTGTTTCTCTGATTTTAACATTTCTTTATTTACACAAATTTCTGTCTCATGTTTTCAGATTTTATTTCTCTTCATATCAAATCGAACCAAAATTTACCGACAGACAAAAGAAACAAAATGGAACATCAGAGAAAAACCCCAGAAACTTTAAATAAATGAAGAATAGATCCAGTTTATTTGAATCTGAATAATGAGTCGATATGAGTTGGTCTAAAACCTCACAGGCTGGTTTTAAACTCTGGTTTTTATTTCTGTGTTTTGTTTGTTTTTCTGTCTTGAACAGTCGTAGCCGTCACTCTTCTTCTCTGGTTAAATCAGCATAAAAAAGTCTGGCTCTTCTTCTGTGATTCCCAGACTAAAGACTCCTCATTACAGGAGCTCCGATCGTCCCCTCAGGCTCATGGTGGGGCCCCTCAGAGGCTCCGGCCCTTCAGGTTGGACAGCACTTATGTAGGTCTGAACTCTGATTTAAAAAACTAGATTAAAAATACTTTGAATTTAAATAAGTGTGAATATTTTCTGAGACAGGGACAGGAAACATCCTTGGCAGAAAAAACTCCAAAATAAAATAAAATAAAATAAAAATGAAGAGATCAAAGTAAAAACTAAAACTATTTATTGATGATCGATCTGCAGCTGTTTGTTCTTTAATTTTGAGTTTTTAGAGACGTCACTGTGAGACAGAAATCGATTATTGGAGGAAAAATGTTTTTATACTAAAATATATTTTAAAAGTTTCTTTCTGTAGTTTCTGAATTAAAATATTTAATGAGTAAAATCTGGATTTTTAAAGATGATCAGTCTTTCAGAAAATGTAAAAAATCGGGTTTCCTGTTTTTGTCTTTTTGTAAACTCAGATAACCGAGTTTGGACTCTCTCTCTGAATTAAATCCTAAATTATCTGAACTGACAGAGAGTGAGGACAGCGCAGTGTTTTTGTAAACCTGCGTCATTTTTCCACTCTGAAGTCCTTGAATGCACCACAGGACCTTCAGATCCAGACAGTGAACACAACACGCAGCACTACTGGATCAGAACCAGAACAGACAGAGTTAAAGAGCTTCAGTTTGAGCTCAGATGAATCTAAAAGAGTTTTAAAATCTTTATTTTGACGCTTTGATTCTTACAGACGGATTTTAAAATTAAATGGATGAAGGTTTGATTTGGTTGATTCATTAACTAAAATATTAAAAAATATTTTAAAAAGCTTTTAAATCTTCTGTGAGGGACTTGTGTTTTGGTCATTTTTAAGGTTTTTTAAGAGCTCGGCGTGGCGTCTCGTCTTTGACTGTTAATGTTGGCAATATTTTATTCTGACTTTAAACAGTTGAGAAAATATCATGAAAGCATATTTTAAACTTTATTGAATGATGACATATATGATGAATCTGATTATTGATCATTTTATTGAAGTTTGTAGTTTTCACGCTGGCTTCAGTTTTCATTTTCGTCTGTTTTAAAACTCTTGACTGGAGCTTTAAGTCACAAATTGTTGAAAACTGAAATTAAAGTCAACTGTAAAAATCAACCAAAAGATGAAGTCACCTTCAACACCTTTAAAAGCCAAATCAAATGAGATATTATCCAATGAAAAAATAAAGAAACAGTTTGTTTCTGTTCCCAGCATGAAAAACTGAATTATCGCCTTATTCCGATTAAGACCGGACAACTGAAGCCCATGTAAACACCTTAGTCCGACTATAATCGGACTTTGAGAACTCCGATTATAGTCGGAGAACTCTGATTGAGACACCCAGATAATGCGATTGGAATTAGATTTTCTCTACCATGTAACCGGCGTAGTCGGAGTATGATCGGACAATGCATGTGTGCGTGCGCCACACCCCCGTAACCCCAGAACAAAAACACCAGAGAAGAAATGTCTATCTTTAAAAAACATTTGACACAGAAGAAACTTCAACATGGCTGAAACACGAAAAAACGTCCATTTTTGAAACGACGAGGAGAGTGCCGATATTCTTTCCGTCCAGACAGAAATGGCCATTTTAAAGTATATGGATGGTTGCAAAACGAGGAACGGATACATCTTTAAAAAAGGTCTGGAAACAGCGTCACTAAAAAGACCCATATCGCCCCCTGGTTTTGGCAAGGAGGACACGTTCACGTCAATAATTCAGTTTTCTTAGCTGCATGTATACACGGACAAGGAGAGAAGTCTGATTCAGCAAAAAAAAAAACGAATCAAGAACTTAGTCTGATTAAACTGCATGCAAATGTACTGACTGATACTGTGAATCTGCCCAATCACAATCAGCCCAGAAACAGTCCTGACTGAGTGACGTCTCTTTACAGAGAAGCTGAGACTCCTCACAGACCGATGAATTAAGACTTAAAGGATCTCTTGATCATGAACCTGGGACTGATCACAAACAGATGAAATCTTTAACCGACTCTTTACAGTGAAACTGAGACTCTTGACAGCAGCGTGGCGTCTCCAGACAATGAACTAAGAAATAATGTTTATTCAGCAGAAAATCTGAAGGGTCGTTTTTTTTCTCTCTCTGGATCTGAACACACAACGCTCACCAGACCATATTTGCATGGCCGCCATTTTCTTGTGACGTCACGCCCGTGGCGAATAACTGGATTATCGTAATGTTGCCTCGCTAAGTATCAACAGACGTTTCTTAAAGGTGTCGCTGGCTTGTGTCAGCGTTTGAGTGTTTTTTCCACTCAGACGTCTTTTCCAAAGAGCACCAACACGCCCACAGAAACAACGTTTTATTCAGAGTCTGTGAACGTAGATTAACGTGGCGATGAGCTGATCTGAGGTCAGATGAGAGGAAACATGTCTCATGTTTTCACTCCCAGCTGATATTTGACTCTGTCGGTTACGTAAGGCTGCAGGTGGAGTTAACAAGCTCTCTGTTGACTCCAGCTGTGCAGGAACATCACTTTTTGTGTTCCAGGTGTGCTGAACATGAACACACACACACACACACCCTCCACCCCCCCACTAACTTGGCCCTCAGGGACCCACTGCAGCATCTGTTCGCTCACTCCCTGTGCCAGACTGAGCCCCTTTCTGCAAACAGACTGACTGACAGAGAAGGAAGAGGACCATCAGAGAACCAGTCCAGCTGTCTAGGTCCAACCTGTGGCCTTCAGCTTGGTTTTCTCTTGTGTTGCCAGATCTATCCAGCGTTTAGGCCAAAACCCCCAAAACAGACAAACAGCGAATTCTGGAATCCTGAAACTGCAGTTCTCTGAGTGTCCACTAGAGGCTGCCTCCACTGTGACTTTGTCCCATAGACTGTATAGACTACAAGCAATTTGGTTCCACCTTACTCCACTATACAGTTTTAAAGCCGAAGCTCTCTGTAATTCCACGTTTATTTTCTATTTCCTGAAACCAACATTGCGCAGTAGCGTTGTGCGTATTTGGTGGGAGAGTCGCCTAGAGTCGCTGTGATGAAGTTCGGCTCAAAAAGCGTATCCCTCGGGTGAGCTACTCAATCTTAGTACGCCCATAGGCTGTATCAGGTGTCAATCATAGAAAACATGAACCCCCTAATAACTTTTAAAAATGGAGCTGTACAAAAAAAAAGAGAACTTGAGCACAAACCAGTCTGACAGTAACTACATGTCAACATCACAACCAGCCTATATTCTGTGTCATTAATTTCTAAAGTTTGTCCACAGCTCCATGAGGAGGCGGGATTTATGACCTATACTGCAGCCCGTCACCAGAGGGCGCTGTTCTCGGAGTGGCTTCACCCAGAGAGGAGGCAGATGGCTTCCATTCTAGATACAGTCTATGGTGCTGAGCAGAGGACCCAACAGTGTCCCCCTAACATCTGTCAGAGCGGTTCTGATGACTTCAGAATTCGTAGGAATGTTCGGTAATGTCACAGATGTTCCCGGACTGTTCCAGTATGTTTTCAGAAGTCCAAAATCTTCTCAAACATTCCAGAATGTTATTGATCTTTTAGAATGTCTTTGATGTACAGAATGTTATTGATCTTTTAGAATGTCTTTGATGTACGGATTGTTATTGGTCTTTCAGAATGTCTTTAATCTTCCACAATGTTCGGTGATATTCTAGAATGTTCTACATCCTCCAGAGCGTCACCACCATAGACTGTATATACTACGGACAACTTGGTTCCACCTTCCGCCAGTACTCTGTATGCAGTCTACGAGAACAATCAAAAAGGAAACAGCCAAACAGGTATTTACTCACTTTTAGAGGCAGCCTCGAGTGGACACTTGAGGAACTGCAGTTTTTTATGGACCTCATTTTGGAGACAAAAGATCAAAGAATAAAAACATTTATTTTATATTAGCCAAAGGAATCCTGGACCAGCATAGACACATCAGACTTTTCTCTTCTGCCCTCTAGGAGGCGCTACTATGCCCCTCCAAGAGGAACAAATAGGTACTCGGACTCATTTATCCCCTCGGAGATCAAGCTGATAAACGCTGAGAAGTAGCAGATTGGTGGCCTGTGTCTGATTTTGGGATCTCAGGATTGTTTTAGTTCTTATTTTACTCATTTTAGTATTTCCATTGTAAACGTATTGCACATGTCTTTATTATCTAGTTATTTATTTATTGCTGTGGTGCTGACAGGGGAATGTTTGGGTCATGTGAAAGTCTGGTATTGTCTGTTCCTGATTGTTTTACTGTGAAGTGATTTGACCTTCTGGGATTAATAAAGTTATCTGAATCTGAATCTGAGAATGGTGGAATACTCCTTTAATCTGAGTTTGCTCATCCATGTTAAAGTGAGAAATTCAGGCGCAGGGCTTTTATTTTGAAAGAGTCAGACTGGGGTTTAAAGTCTGACTGTTATCAGTGTGAGAAAGCGGCTCAGACAAGCAGGTTCAGGTTAAAATACCTGCAGTGATAAAGGAGGACTCAATCACACCTGTTGTTGTTCTGGAGTCTACCTGTTGACTCCCTCTGCGCCTCCTCCTCCTCCTCCTGCTCCTGCCGTGACTAATGAGTTAGCGCTCACTGTCTTTATAAAGAGCCCATTGACGGGCTCTCAGTTGACCATGTACCACGAGAGATTACAACAAGGACATGTGTCGGGGGGGGGGCGCAGAGCAGGCAGGGGGCTTATCAGCGTGAAACCCTCCTGCAGGTCTGAGATAAGGAGCGCCAGGGGAGACGCCATTATGAGGCAGGCAGTGCCTCCTCTTCCTCCCTCAGACATGTTCATGGTTGAGTGGAATCATTGTGTCGGGAGGGCCCTGAAGGCAGCACAACACGAGTCAGTGAAGGCAGCGCACTCTGAGTCAGTGAAGGAGTCAGTGAAGGCAGCATGACCCGAGTCAGTGAAGGCAGCTCGCTCTGTGACAGTCAAGGCAGCTCGCTCTGTGACAGTGAAGGCAGCACGACCCGAGTCAGTGAAGGCAGCACTCTGAGTCAGTGACGGCAGCACGCTCTTAGCCAGTAAAGGCAGCATGACCCGAGTCAGTGAAGGCAGCACGCTGTTCTGAGTCAGTGAAGGCAGCACGCTCTGAGTCAGTGAAGGAGGCAGTGAAGGCAGCATGACCTGAGTCAGTGAAGGCAGCACGCTCTGAGTCAGTGAAGGCAGCACACTCTGAGTCAGTGACGGCAGCACGCTCTTCATCAGTGAAGTCAGCATGACCCGAGTCAGTGAAGGCAGCACGCTGTTCTGAGTCGGACTAAGGTGTTAACGCTCTGAGTCAGTGAAGGCAGCAAGCTCTGATCAGTGGCCCTCTGGGTGAGCAGATAAATTCTCTGTTAATTGTCAGCTTTAGCAACTCAATGATAATTTACAGAAACCTGAGTGTGTGTGTGTGTGTGTGTGTGTGTGTGTGTGTGTGTGTGTGTGTGTGTGTGTGTGTGTGTGTGTGTGTGTGTGTTGCAGCAGCAGCAGCAGCTCTAATCTGTATTTATTCAGAGATAATCTCCTTTAATGATGTCTCACCTCTCTCAGGTGTCACACAGCGGCGGGATTAGAAACAGGTGTCATGACATCAAACACAAGAGAGGAGATCCCAGACCAGGTGCATGATGGGATATCTCCAGTGCTGTGTTTATTCTCGTCTCAGACTCTTAGAGTTTAAACATTTTTCTGCAGAAACTTTAAAAAGTTTTGATTCCCTTTAATTCATTCTGTTTCAAAAAGTTTGTTCGTCTGAATGTTTTTAAACTTTAGTTAAATTTCGGAGTGAAGAAACTGAAATTTTCTGACTGTTTTTTTCTTACAGACTGGAAGGTTGGTGTCTGTTTTTATCCTGGATCATGAAGAGACGATAACATCTGTAACTTTGAAGAAACACAGAGCAGGAACCTTCAGCTTTACACCCGTTTATGTCTGTATGCTTTCGCAGTGCTGCCCCCTCTGTCATGGAGTTAGAGACACAGACACTCAGTCTGTTTCCATGACACTCGAGAAAAACGAATTATCGCCTTAGTCCGATTAAGACCGAACAACTGAAGTGCATGTTAACACCTTAGTCCAACTATAATCAGAGTTTTGAGAACTCCAATTGGAATTAGAGAACTCAGATTAACCCAGGGTTTCCACTGTATCCGGAACGGCTCCGATCCGCAATGGCCGGAATTTTCTCTGTACTCCAATTCCTACCCGATCCGTTTGTGAGGCGAATTTCGTAGCGGGTTACGGACAGCAGGAATCACGAGAACTCACAAGAACCTGCTGATTCATGTTCAATCGCACAATAACGAGTTGTCTCTATAACAAAAGCCACATAGACATATAAGCAGTAGATTGTGTCCTTCCAGAGGAGGTAATCTACATCTAGACTTCTAGAATCAGCATCTCCTCATCCATGGTGTCATCGGGGTGAAATGACATCGAAAAACCTTTCACTTGTTCATCTCCGCCCGTTTGCATGGTGTGAAATACAATCCTCCTGAAACACGGAGTGTTTTATTTTGAAAAGAAGCCGGATGTTTTATTTTGTGTCTGTGCCCGACTTCCTTTCCAGCACGGGTTAATCCGTGCTGAGTTTATCCGGCATGCTCCGCCGTCTGGAAAAAAAAGAACTCTTGCGATCAGCTGTGGAGTCCGGCGATCCGCAGAGGAACGCAAAGAAGCCGGTGGAAATTGACACGTTAACATGAATGGTTATGATCAGCTACGATTCGGGGATACGACCTTTAAGTAGATGTTCAGGATGCGGTGTCAATTGGGGTAAGACACCCAGATCATGTGATGGAATTCGATTTTCTCCACCATGTAACCAGCGTAGCCAGAGTACAATCGGACAATGTATGTGCGTGCGCTACGCCCCAGTAACCCCGAACAAAAACACCACAGAAGAAGTGGCGCTATCATTTAAAGAACTTTTGACTCAGAAGCAACATGGCTGAAGCACGAAAGAATGTCCACTTTTGGAACGACGAGGAGAGCGCCATCATGCTTTCCGTCCTGACAGAAATGGACACTTTACAGTTTTTGGACGGTCGCAAAATGAGGAACGAAGACATATTTAAAAAAGGTCCGGAAACAGCGTAGATTAAATTGTTCATGTAAATGCTCTGAGTTAGCTGAGCCTTTCTCCAGGTCTCCAGACCAGTCAGCCGGCTGAGCCTCTCTGTAAGTGAAGACCTAAAACCAGAGTCCAGGTTCAGGAGTATCAGAGTCCCCCTGCAGTCTCACGATGAGTTATGAGTCTGCGGTCGGTCTTGGCCTCCTGAAGGATGGACGCAGGTGAACAGCTGCCTGTTATTCCCCCTGCCCTCTGAATGAGGAGGGGGTGTGGGGGGCTAAGTAATGACAAAATGAGCACCTTCAGTAGACTCCAGCAATGAAAACGGCTGCCCTAATCACCCAAGTCTTTTGTTCTGAATTTTATTAGCACTAGCTGTGCTAAAATAACCTGTTAACACGAATCATAGTGCAGCAATAATAACCTCCTCAATCATATTTTAAAAGTCACGTCAGGCGGCCGCAGTAATTCATCTCTATGCAAATATGTGTCTGTCAGCCCATTAGAGGCTTTTATTAAAATGCATCTCTTCCTGCTGCGGACTTATAAAACACAGCGGGCCTGTTGCTTAAGAATTATAGCGACTGTTCGGCTAACATATGGACAGCATGCACTCTGCAAATAAAAGGCTGCAGATAAAGTGGTGGGGTCAGGGAGGGGGGCAAACACTTAGGAAATGGCACCGCACTAATAGATGGTGCAGACCTGGAAATCAAAGCCTGATTAGACTTCATTTGGGTGGGGGCAGCCTGCTTGCCCCCCCGCTGGCAGCAGTGCCGCCGCCGCAGAGTGTCTGAGTGTCATAAAGTGAGAGGACAGTAAAAAGGTAATAAAGAGCATCAGCCTTTAATGAAATTAGAACAATGGAGACGAGGAGGAAACGTGCTGCGCGCTCATGGTCACAGATCCACCGAGAACCAACTGAATTATCAGATCTTCATTAGACCTGAACGACCTTTGACCCTCCAACTGGGACTGCAGAGGACTGCAAGGCTGTAACCCTGTGTTCATGATGACAGGAAGTTACAAGAAAGAGCAGGAAATGACCTCCAGAGCTCAGGAACAAAATAACACTAAAGTCCTGTTGTTCTCAGAGTGGCCACCAGAGGCTGTCTCCTGTATGGAGTCAGCCCCTGTCTCTACCCGATCAGTCCCAGAAACCCGATGTGTACTGCGCATATGCAAAATGTACATCACTTCCTCTCTTTGCATTTCTGACTATTTTACTGCAGTGAGTCGTTACCTACCCGATCTGTACTGCACAAGTGCAAATTTACGTCACCTTAAAATCTTTATTTAAACTTCCGATTGATTCAGAAACAAGCTGACGATGTGACAGGCTAGCTAGCAGGGGGCTCCAGGGCACAAAATATTTTTTTTTGTAGGATGGTAGGAGAAAGTCTCGCCCCCTTCGCCTCTGATTGGCTAGAAAAGCTGGAAACATCATCACACACTCAAGCCAAACGCGGGCTGTCAGCTCTGTACATCGAACTGAACATTATAGAACATTATCGAACTTCTGAATCTCCTAACCCTAACCGGACAGACGATGACATTTCACAGCTATTAGGAATAACCAATCAGAGCCCAGGACATCTAGCCAATCAGAGGCGAAGGAGGGCGGGACTTTCCCCTACCATCCTACAAAAAAAAATTGCCTCCAGAGCTAATGCCTAGGTGCCCAGCATGGTGAGGCCTTTCGGGCCACAGAGAGCACCGCCACCCGATCTAAGTTATGGTTCTCTGACTCGTTAAAGTATCAAGGGAGGATTTATTTCATTTATTTTATAAATTAATTGTATTAACAAGAAGCCTACACATTTTTGACAATGAATTTCAGCATTTTTTATACAGCGTTTCAATTTCAACACTGAAATATTCACTTTCATTCAAGCCTTTTAGAACTACATTACAATTTTACAATTAAGCTGAAGTAATCATAAAACTGGGCGCCATTCTCTTGACTTTCCGGAGCTCTGCTTCAGTCGGAGGGAAGAACTTAGTTCAGGAGAAAAGAAAAGTGTGTGGCTGTGATAAACTGAAGCATCAATAAACTGACTGTAGCGAGCTCGCTGATGCTGATGCTGAAGCTGTCGAACAAGAGTCGAAGGTGCCACAAACCGCGAGGGGCAAAGAACTGCTGAGTTGTCGCAAAGATGGCTCGTAGAGGAAGTGACATACGCTTTGCACATTTGTTGCACAAATCAGACTTTTGGGGCGGATCAGGTAGCGACAGTCCCCACCATGTAAAAATGTTGAACTCTACCTTCCAGCTTCTTGTTTACATTCACCTAAAGACTAAAGCTGTAGATCATTAGGGGCGTGGCCTCTTTGAGTTATAGCTGGGCACTAAGCTAAGCTAAGCTAAGCTAATGTTTATAACCCTGATGGGTCTCTGTTTTGGGATCAAGAGGTTGGGGTTAGAGGCTAAATGGACCATAAAAATGTAAATAAAGTGATAAATGCTGCAGAAGTTTTGGGGAGTTTTTTACATTTAACGCTGTATGTTTTGTGGCTCTGATTGGCCTGTAGTGACTGTGACAGACAGGAAGTTTGTCCAATCAGCTTGTTTTTCAAGAGCTCCCGATTGGATGGATATAAATATATGTAGTCCTGTGGTTATGTGACTCAGGCTGTCTGGCGTCTCAGTATGGCGAGTCATAATTTATCTAACATCTCTGTCTTGTAACTTTAGTTCGGCCGTTTTCAATCATGAGGTTTCTGTGTTTTACAGATACAGTCTAATTAGTTGTTACACTGGTACTTCCTGTGTGTAGATGACTGAGGATGAGTATACTGCTCTCTGTCTCTCTCTGTCTCTCTCTCTCTCTCTCTCTCACAGTAAAAGTGTGTTTTCTTCATTTATTTATGTAAACAGGTTTTCTGTATTTGAGTTCGTGGACAACTGTCATTAATTATAACGTTGAAATCAGAGCTGTCATCACAGTGAGATCATAAGTATGTTCATGTGGTCAAATCAGGCTGTAGTACTGCGGGCCGGTCCTGGTACCATCCTGAACTATTCCTGGTTCTGGTGTTTCTGGGTACATAAAGACGTCAGGCGCTGATGACCCTCCTCCTGATGATCTGTTTGACAGTTTATCAAAGTCAGACGGACCCGTCATGTGTGAATGCGGGATTCCTTCCCTTTATGGACCCATTA